ATAACAAAATTCTGTTTTCGTTTTTAAGCAGCCCTAGTAATATTTTCATGACTTTCTCGCGTTAAAAAATCGTAAAATCGTTAAAAAATCGTAAGTGTCAACGCCGCTGTTTTGGGTGTTTAATTTCTTCTTACATTTCGCTTTGTAGCGCACAAACTTTAGACTTAGAAACTTCGAAAAAGAGAACTACGAAGATGTGTAGGGAAATGTACAGGAAATACGATGGGAAAAAAAAAAGAATTAACTGCAAAATTAAAAAAAAAATTAGCTGTTAAAAATGTCGTAAAAAATAACTTGCGGAGCGCTCAACAGACCGGAGGTATAGAAATACAGAGTTGAAATTTGACGTACTGATAGGGTTATATTTGTTTAAGGAAATGAAACGTATTTGTTTGTTTATTTACAAAATTCCAAATTATTCGAAAATTATAGCAATTTTTTTCAGTTTTATTGCACTGAATATTGACTATTAATCCAGTGTTGCAGAAAAATTTATTTTTCTCTCTCGTGATCTTTATTTTATAAGCTCATGCTTGAGTTGACGTCGAAAGTCACCTCCTCTCCTTAACAAAAAATAAACAAAAGAGAGAGTGATTAATAGTTGCCAGATTTAAATCTTAACATTCGTATTCAAGTTCTTAAAAATAAAAACTGCAGCAATAAAAATTATTCTCTGTTTGAATTGTTATAAGTCTTGTCAATGAATAAAATAACTTTATTTATTTCTTGTTGTCGTTGTCGAATCACAGGATCTGTATTCCATATGTTTAATATTTTTCTTTTTTTCAAGTACAGGTGATCCTTTTTCAAATCCACGCAATTGTTCGTTTCGTAACGATTAACATACATTGACAAAATGCTCGTACTACAATAATTTTAGATTTTGTTAACAAAATTGTTCACTTTGTTTTTTGTTGAAAGTATTGACATTTAAGGGGAAGGGGGGATAAAAACTGATAAACTATTACAGGGGTTGGTGAGTAGGAACAGCAGCTCTCTATTAAACTTTTTTTTTAAAAAATTACTACTTGATAGAATTGCTTCCCTCTCCTTTAAAAAAAACATTTTCTCAAAACTGCAAATTTCAATTTTACATTTGTAATAACATCTATGTTTCCACATAAAAGCAGAAAATTTTAGAAACATTCGGGACAAACAATGGCTTAATTGTAGTAAACCCTAAGTACTGGAATGTTACACCCATCAAATATAGCAATATACTATAGTCTGTATTTCCCCCAAATAATAGAAATTTGGCCACATATTCTAACAAACGTCTGTGTATTTCACGTCAAGTTTAAAAATTACTGATCAATTAGGGCATCAAAAGGTTAAAATATCCTCGGAATAATGTCATTTGATCAAAAGATATTCCCTCAAAGCGTCGCAGTCTGGTGGCGAAATTCGTCTAAAACAATGGTTAATAGTATTTTCATTCAGTTGAAGTGTCGCCATCTATAGGCATTAAAATAATTGAGTTTACTTGTTTTCCGTGTCCACCAGATTCTAATTAGTGTTTTGTACAAAAGGGGCTGTCCAGATATTACCTAAGAATCATTTTGGCAATTCTGAACTACTCCTCTCCCTTGTCATCATACAGGGGTGATTGTGAGCCCAACTCAAAAATCCTGAAAATTTCTTGAATAAAATCATTAATGACGCATTTCAAAAAATTAATGTCCTTATAAATTTAAATCATTGATATTTTCAAAACATGAATTTCTAAATAAATTATATGCAGCATAATTTAGACGGATTATTATGTATAAGTTTACTTTTAACTCTAATCACATTTATCATTCTACCAGAAAAAATACTTACAGATGAAAAAGATGCCAAGTATAAATTCTAGTTCGAGTATTTTTAAATAAAACATACAAGAATTTTTATACACAAATGTGATGGATGATTTCTTGAAACTTCTGCACCTTGGATTTCAGGATTGCGGCTAGCGAAAAATCAGAAATTTTTCCAGAGCACAGTTTTTGCATTATAACTTTTACTTAAGTTCAAATAAAAGATGTTAAATTGAATTAAAAATGCAAAATAAAATTTATGTTTAAGTTCATGTTGTAAATTTTAGAGTGAAACTTTCTTTAGGAATTCCTTGTGTTTTCTTTTTGTGTTAGGAATTCTTGACCATTGAAATTCATTCAAGACTTTTTTTTTCCAAATTTAGCCTTAATTCCAAATTTGAAATTTTTTCCTGTGTAAATTTTTTGTTTCATTTTTCTTCTTGGTTTAAGACAGATTTGAAAAAAAAAGAGTATTTTTACGTAAGTAAACATAGCTCATAACCCTCCTCTCTCCTTAGCTAAAATAAGCAAATCACAACCAACACCCTCGCTTAAGCTCTTACATAGTATTAGAATGATCCAAAACAAAGCAAGTAATATAAAAATAAAAAAAATTTTAAAGTCAATTCATACTTAGGTCAACAAAGAAAATTTTATTTTAGTTACTTTTCATTAAATAATCACAATTTTTTTCTCCCATGTAAAACTAAAATTAATGAATTAAATTTAATGAATGAATTAGTATTTGAACAAACTGTAATTAACATCGAGTGTCATCCACTACAAGTTTAAAAGAAAATTGTATTTGAACTTGAGTGGATGAATAAAATGTATTTCATTAATGATTGAAAATTTGAACAAGATATAGGGAGAGTGTGAACTAATAGTTGGAATTGGAAGAAAAAATAATTTTAATGAGCTGTAATTATATATTTAAGTACTTGTTGGTATCTTTCAAAATTTTAACACAACCTCTTACAAAAGGAAAAAAGCTTCAAATGAATTAAGGTGCAAAAATATATAAAAAAAATTCTTAAAATGGCAACAAATGACATTAAATTCAGATACTAGGTGTTTCGGACAAAATGCAAATTTTTTAAAAATATGCCTGAAATATTTCTAGAAACTTACGGGTATTTTTCAAATTAATATAATTTTTATAAAAACTTTCACTAAGAGTAAACCTTTACATACTGCTACAACATATAAAACAGATGGTGAAATAAACCTAGTCTAACATTAAAAAAATTAATAAAACTAAAAATTTACTTTAAAAAATAAAAGTTTTCTTAAAATGTTGCGATGGTGCTCAATTTCACTGGTTAAAATTTTAATAAAAGAACACTCTCCGGAAAATTACAAAATAAGGTGAAAATAGCAGCTACCAGGTATTTATAATCAGATGCCTAAAACATAGTAACATGGATTTACTAATGTTCTATGCATTAAATCATTCTATTATTTTCAAATATGATGCCATCACTGATCTAATTAAGCTGTTTTATACTAATTTTATCCCCCCCTGAAAAATAACGAAAATTGATTGTTATTCAAAATTAAGAAAAATATGAAAAGAAAATTTTTTATGTGTGTTAAGATTCAACGAAATTAAAATATCTATATAATGTATTTGTATTTTTAAAAAGAAACTGCAAGAAATTGTACATATTTAAAATTATTTATTAAAATGGCAAAAAAAGAGATGATAAATCGGCATGTACATGATTAATATTTTACATATTATGATTCTGCATAGAAAGAAAAAAAAAACAGAAGAATATGTCCAGCAGTAATTATAAATTTTTATTCAGCAAGTTCTAGTCGTTGAAATTTATCTACATCATAAAAACCAGCTTTAACAACTCTGCCTCCAAAATAACGTCCATTCAAATCAACCACAGCTGCAATAANTTATAGTAAAATAATAAAATTCAAGTTTTTAATATTCTATGTAAAAAATTAGCAGTTTTCAAAGAATAATAAAAGTTGTTTTTTTCCTCTCAAAAATACGGTTAACGTTTTATGGATTTTTTCCATTCTCTCCTGATTTTTTTCAAATTTTTGAGTTAAAAGCACATTTTTTACCAACTCTGCATCTATTCATTATTAATCTATTGTAACATTACACTTAATTAACGGTATACAATAAAGGTCCTGTAACTAATTAAGTGTAAGAGGCCAAACAATGGTATACAATAAAGGCCCTGTAACTAAATAAGTGTAAGAGGCCAAACAACGGTTTTATTTTTCGGGCCTGTAATTCCGCCTCTTCCTGAAATGCCTCAAAACAAACGATAAAGGACCCTATTGTACTGGCCTTTTGCCGTTACCCTACCTAGAATGCCAGCTTACGGCCTTACGTTTGCCGTGAGGTGTGTGCTTACTGGGATGTATTTTATTAACGATTGAAAATTTGAACAAGATATAGGGAGAGTGTGATCTAATAGTAAGAATTGGAAGGAAAAAAAATTTTAATGAGCTGTAATTATACATTTAAGTACTTGTTGGTATCTTTCAAAATTTTAACACAGCCTCTTACAAAAGGAAAAAAGTTTCAAATGAATTGTGGCGCAAAAATACATAAAAAAAATCTTACAATGGCAACAAATGACATTAAATTCAGATACTAGGTGTTTCGAACAAAATGCAAATTTTTTAAAAATGTCCCTGAAATATTTCTAGAAACTTAAGGGTACTTTTCAAATTAATATAATTTTTACTGCTACAACATACATACTGCTACAACATATAGAACAGATGGTGAAATAAACCAAGTGTAACATTAAAAAAATTAATAAAACTAAAAATTTATTTTAAAAAAATAAAAGTTTTCTTAAAATGTTGTGACTGGTGCTCAATTTAACTGGTTAAAATTTTAATAAAAGGACACTCTCCGGAAAATTACAAAATAAGGTGACAATAGCAGCTACCAGGTATTTATAATCAGATGCCTAAAACATAGTAACATCGATTTACTAATGTTCTATACATTAAATCATTCTATTATTTTCAAATATGATGCCATCACTGATCTAATTAAGCTGTTTTATACTAATTTTATCCCCCCCTGAAAAATAACGAAAATTGATTGTTATTCAAAATTAAGAAAAATATGAAAAGAAAATTTTTTATGTGTGTTAAGATTCAACGAAATTAAAATATCTATATAATGTATTTGTATTTTTAAAAAGAAACTGCAAGAAATTGTACATATTTAAAATTATTTATTAAAATGGCAAAAAAAGAGATGATAAATCGGCATGTACATGATTAATATTTTACATATTATGATTCTGCATAGAAAGAAAAAAAAAACAGAAGAATATGTCCAGCAGTAATTATAAATTTTTATTCAGCAAGTTCTAGTCGTTGAAATTTATCTACATCATAAAAACCAGCTTTAACAACTCTGCCTCCAAAATAACGTCCATTCAAATCAACAACAGCTGCAATAAATAACAGCTATTAATGATTAATAATAATACAATGTTCGTACAGCTACAATAAATAACAGCCATTAATAATAACTGTTGATTAATAATAATGCAATGTTCGTACGAATAGGCATAAAAAGATACAAAAAATTATTAAAAATTTATAACTCAATCCATTGTGTACTTTTTTTCTTCAAAGGATGATTATGTCACTTGGTGGTAGGGTTTTGTGTATTAGTAATATATCCCATAATACAAAAAAAAATAATAATAATTCTGAAGAAAAAGTTTTCAAATAAGGAAAAACACATTTTTTTTTTATCTTGCAATAAATAGTGGTTAGGGCAAACATAAATTTCAATACAGAAACTCATTATTGATTTGATTCATAATCAATAATGATTTGGAACTCATTATAAATTTTGAGCTTTCTGTTGTCATAAAAAAGTGCATTTTTTTAAAAATATTTAATGATTTATCCAGTAATTACATGTAATGCACCAATAATTGTTGCATATCAACCATTAATGATTTAACATAGTTACGGAGATGCATAACGGGAAAAAATTGGTTGAAAAGCTCTAAACCTGCACATGATAATTATGATTAAACCAATAATTATAAATAAATGTACTACTAAAAATCAAGCACGAAAATATTGCATTCTAATATTCAGAAAATATACAAAAAATGCTTGGAAAGTTCTAAACCTATCAATGGTGTATTCTATTGTAGAAAAAATAAAACAGTTGGGAGATATACTTCAAGATGAGGCTTAACCCTTCCACGCCGATTGTCACCTGTACGTGCCAGCAAAAAACACACTCACTTCCCGGCCGACACGCCGGTGTGTAAGTCTGTTTTTTCGTTAACCACCAGCTGTCACCCATTAGTGCCAGTGTCCTGGAGCGTTTTAAAAAATAAAATTTTTGCCTGAAGATAGCATTGTATGTCCATATGGTTTCAGATACATGTAGATTTGACCTTCTACTCAAGATGAAAGTACATTCACGTGGTTTTTAGGGGAAGGAGGGGAGGGGGGAATGTTTTATGAGGGCTCTTTAAATTAGCACGTGATATTTATTTACAGTAAGTAAGGGAGTTTTTTTTATCTCTCGCTACTTTCGATTTTCGGATTAGTTTTTAGTGGATAATTAGATCTTGTAGGCTTGAATTTTTTTTCTTTTTACCGTTAGAATGTCGAAGCGTCGAAAATTTTTAACTGAGCTGGAAATAGAGGAAATTATGCAAAATATTTAAACTTATTAATATTTATATTACATTTAAACAAGAAATAACTTAAGTAAATAAAGTATCCATAGAAATATATATAAAGCATATGTCACTTAAATACTCTACAGAACAATATTAAACAACGCGCTGATATTTCGGTAATTTCATGGAATTAGGCTTAACATCGAAAAACCCTCCGGCCCTGGGGAGACACACGCTAGAGAGACTGCCGGCCTCAGCGGTAAGCGCGCTTTCGCGCTTTGCGTCGCGAAAGGGTTAANAAAGTATGAAATTTTTCATCTATTATGTACTTTAATTGACTTGTCTAGTTATTCCATGAAATACTATGAAATAACTGAATTCAATGCATTGAATGAATTATATTTATCCTACATATTGGGAGTACAAATTAGTTCGGTCTGTTTTCAAAAGATAGCTCTGGCTGTTATGAATGTTTCATAGTGACAGCTGGTTTCGGTGGTTTCAGAGAGGTTAGACATCTGTCAATGATATTCAGTTTATATCGCTTTGAGTTTCATACAAAAACCCTATTTTTTACTTTGTTGAATATGTCAAATTTTGTAGTAGCTAAGCAGCATTTGCGGGAGGTTTCATGTTTCTGCTTTAATTGGAAGAAAAGTGCAGCTGAAGCACATCGAATTCTAGTAGAAGTCTATGATGACAATGGTCAAACAGATAAATCACATAAGGAATGGTTTCGACGTTTTAAGAATGGTGTTGTAAACTATGAGCTGCTACAACCTAGCGATTACATTACAGGCGATCGGTATAGGCTACATTTGATTTGTTTGAGCATTGCATTACGAGAAAAACAGCCGAAATACGAGCAAAGACATAGTTATTCTTCTGCATGATAAAGGTCGGCCTCATGCCTCACCTGTCGTATTCAACGGACATTGCTCCTTCTGATTACTGGTTGTTCCGACAGATGCAGCATGATTAGGCAAGTTAACAGTTCACTTCTTTCGCAGAAATCGAAAATTGGCTCCTAACTTGGATTGCCTCAAAAGACGAGACATTTTTTTTTAGATGAAATTCGAAAATAACCTGAGAGGTGGGAAAAAGTAGCAGCCAGCAATGGACAATACTTTGATTAATCTGTTCATTCATTTTGTTCTAAAATAAATGCATTTTTGACCACAAAAAACTAATCTGTACTCCCAATACTTCAAAAGATATTGCTAAGTAGAATATATGGCACTCTGTATGAGTTTACTCAATAGCAAATTATTTTAAGGGCAATATCAATATGCTTTATTCATTCATACATAAAATTGTTCTTCTAGCTATAGAATAATTTATGCCCTGTTTGTGAAATTATACAATAGGAGATACTATTAAAAAATTTATTTTTTATTTTATAGTTGTAAACATAACTATAAACTTTATTAAAGGAAATACAATATTATTATGCTTTATTTCTTTATTAATGTTATTATTTTGTATGATATTGCAGAGCTTGTGAGTGATAAAAAATTCAATAGACTACATTGATTATATGTATAATTTTGCAACAACGCAGTGAATAAATATATAGCTTGTTAATTATGCTCATAATAAAAAAAATTTAAGTATTTCTTTTAAAAATGTGGTAAAAAACTCAGAGTAAAACAAAAAAATTTAGTCTAAAAAAGATTATACCTATAATTTTACAATTGTGTAGTGAATAAATATAAAGCTTGATAATGATGTATTTAATAAAGTTTTTTTTAACGATATGTTAAAAAACTCGAAGTAAAACAAAAAATTTAGTATAAAAAAGAATATATATATAATTTTACAGCTGTGCAGTGAATAAATATAACGCTTGTTAATATAATAAAAAACTTTAAGTATATTTTTTAATATATGTTAGAATAAACAGAGTAAAACAAAAAAAATTAGTGCAAAAAAGATTAATGTAACATTAAAGTATTGCAAAATATACCTTTAATAGCAGATTCCAACCGCTTAAATTCTATAAATATTCTCACGGATTCTTCTTCGGGGACATTCCCACCAGGTATTTCAAAGATTACACATTTAATTACTTCACCATATTTACCACATTCTTCTTTAGTCTCTGGCTCTAATTCTTCATCCACTTCTCCAGGACCAACCATGTTCTTAAATTGAAATAAAAAAATAAGATAATGGAACTCAAAAATTTGTTGCATTGAAGCTTGGCCTAATCTCTCAACAAGGATAGATAACATTAAAAATCCCTTTTAAAAAAGAATATAAAAGTAGAAAAATAGAATTCATTGAAAAATAGTTAATATCTATTAATGGGAAACTTTTACCTATCCAGTGACTTTAAAATGAAAACTTTTAAGATCATTTCTCTGAGAAACAACTGAATCAATTTTTTTTTTAAAAAAAAAATCTTTATGTTTTTCAACTTTTTGTTCCTTTATTCTCAGCTTTTTTTTCTTTCTTTTTTCTTTTATAAGAAAATTGGATTTTCGAAACCAAAATGAAAAATCTACCAGTGACTTCACACAAAAATCAAAGTCAACAATGAAGCTATTTGAAAGAAAAAAAAGCTGTCATAAAATGTGTACCTAACGAGAGAAACGAGGGTTTGTATGGCTTTGGACACAATGCTAAACTCATCATCTTTTTTTTTTTAATAAGAAAATTGGATTTCTGAAACCAAAATGAGAAAACTACCAGTGACTTTACATGAAAATGAAAGTCAACAATGAAGTTCTAAAAAAAAATCTGTATTAAAATGTGTACCTAACGAGAGAAACGAGGGTTTATAAGGCTTTGGACACTTTGGAGCTAAACCCATTATCTTTTTGTTTTTATTTTATAAGAAAATTGAATTTTTGAAATCAATGTGAAAAATCTATCAGTGACATTACATGAAAATTAAAATTAACAATAAAGCTTTTTTTTTTAAAAATCTGTAATAAAATGTGGACTTAACGAGAGAAACGAGGGTTTGCAAGGTTTTGGACACAATGCTAAACCTTTAAGTTTTACCATTCTCTGCAAATTTGTCTAAACCTATTTTGTCTACTATCTAACATTCTATTATCCATGCTAGCAAAAAACAGTTAACCTGAATTTAAGCACTATTAAAACACCAAGAAATTTAAACTGCAATGCAGAATTAAAAATTTATCAATTTAACTACCATTAAAATATTTTAAAAAGAAAATTTCTATTAAAAATAGCTTGTGTGAACCTTTTAGTCTTTAACTGTTCAAAACAAGATAGTGTAGAGTAATTTTATGCATAAAATACTAAACAGTTAAGAGTTTAGGAAAATGGAAAAAACTGTAACAGGGAAAAAAAATTATCAATTTCATTAGTATTAAAATATTTTAAAAAGATAATTTATATCAAAAATAGCCATTGTGAACACTTTGGTTCTAAACTGTTCAAAACTAGATATTGTAGAGTAATTTTATGCATAAAATACTAAACAGTTAAGAGTTTAGGAAAATGGAAAAAACTGTAACAGGGAAAAAATTATCAATTTAATTACTATTAAAATATTTTTAAAAGATAATTTCTATCAAAAATAGCTTTTGTGAACACTTTGGTTTTAAACTGTTCAAAACTAGATATTGTAGAGTAATTTTATGCATAAAATATTAAACAGTTAAGAGTTTAGGAAAATGGAGAAAAAAACTATAACAGGGAAAAAAGTTAAGTAAAAAAAATACAAATCAAATTATCATTTCAAATTGGGAATCTGGCCTTTAAAACTCATATTTTTAAAAAAATTTATAATAATAATATATTTATATATATAACAACTTTTAATTATTCAAAATTATTATGAGCTGAAAATTTTTAATTTTAACAAGTTTATTTAAATTTATTGAACTATTCTATTTCTATGTAATTATACATTTCATATATAAATGCAATTACTGTGGAATTTAAGTTGATAGACTAATATTTAAGATTAAATATTGGTAAAAATTATAGTTAATTGATAGATTAGTACAATAGATACATGGTTATAATATTTGGAGTAATAAGTATTCTAACTATTTCTGAATAATGGGTTTTTGGAAACAGACTGACTGAGCATTAGGTATGTTATATTTTAAATTACTTAGGAAATGTAGAATTTAATTTTTTTCCTGTTTGAAAAAAAATCTATTCTAGTTCACTTACTCTTAAAAGAACAACTTTCGATGGACATTTCATTATTTCAGTTATTGAATCAACTTGCGAGCCTGAAGCTGGAGAATTAATTGAGGGGGGTGGAAGAGGGGCTGGGGCTTGGAACTCTGGTGGAGATGGAGGTTGAGCATCTGACACTGTAAAAGATTCAAATTACTTTATTAGCAATAACAAACAAGCATACGATAATCAATCAAAAAAAATATGGCAACTGTTTTATGAATGATTTTAATCTATAGCTGCCAACATGGATAGGAAAAAATCCAGTAGATTTTAAAAAATAATATAAATTTCATGAAAATTGTTGCATATTTACTAAATATTTAACACATAGGGGATTTTAGGGATTTTTAATAGTCATCAAAATAAAAAAAAACTACAATATTTTCCAATTATGATTACCATTAAACATATTGAAATGATATGCATTATGTTTACTCATAATTTCTAATATTAAAAGGCATTTAATTCATCAAAGATAAGTAAAAGATTTTTTTAAATTATTTAAAAGGAGAGTTCTGAATAAATATAAACTGAACATTTTAGAATGAAAAAAGTTTTGAACTAATTTCTATAAATGAGGTTTGCTTCATTATGTATTAGTCATACCTATTTAAATATTTTAGCAAGCAGGCAATAATCTGTACAGTAATTCTATTTCAATGGGGATTTTTAAAAGAAATTTACTAAAATGTTGGGGAATTTTCTAAAATATACAAAAATTAGGAGAATTTTAATTAAACCAGTAAACCAGGAAAAACTGGCAAAATCCAGTAGTCTTCTGGAAAATCCAGTAGAGTTGGCAGCTATGTTAATCACATAAATTTTTATTTTGATGATAAGAAAGCTCATAAAATGCTCACTCTTCCAAAACTTAATATGTATTATGTAGTAAAAAATTAAGCTGTAATTCCTAAAAATCGTAAAAAGCAGCAAAAAAAATTTTATATCAATGAGCAAAAAAATTAACAGACTTCCCTAAATAACTTTTTATCTAATGATCGGATCTTCACTTTCTAGGTTAACCTCAAATACGCTAATTGATTAGTGCAGATGATATTTTAAATTGTGACATCAGGCACGAAAACCTACTTTCACTGAATAGATATACATTTTTTTAAACACAATCGGAATTCTAACCTCCAAAGTATAGGGGGTAAATGGAATCTAGGAAATAAGGTCTCAATAGTTTGATCAAGAGAGCGTTCCAAAGTTTAGGTTGCTTAATGTTAATATTATTTTTCGCATATTTTGCCATGTCTCAAAAAATTAAGAAAACTGAAAAAAATTTTACCACAAAATTTTTTATTTAAAGATAATTTATTGCAAAAAAAATAACTTTTAGCACATTTTTATTTATTTAATAATAGTAAAAAAAATTGAATGGCATGTAGGGTATACAATATTTTTATATTATTTTAAAGAATGTAATTTTAAATGGCAAAATACAAAATTTGAGTGTCAGTTATATAGTTATATAGTTCTAGTTATATAGTTAATCAGTTATATAGTTCTTGAGAAATTGAATTTTAAAAACGCTGTATTTTTAAATTTCGATCAAAAGTTACTCAGATAAGATCAAAAGTTATTTAGAGTGATTCACTTTTCGGTTTTTTTTTTTTTTTNTGTAACTAGGATTATTATAATTCCTCATCAGCTTGTATTTGTACTGTTTACATGAAAGTAAAACCCGAATCAACTTAATGTAAATCATGATGTACCGTTTGTAACAAAATTGGAATACGTGCTTAACAAATCACCTTGCCTGAAATTGAGATATGTGGTTTGAAAATTGAGTCAAAACAAATATCCATGTTTGATTCATTAATCCTATGAATATAAATCAAAATGGGTGATTCATAAATCAAATCAATATGAATCATAATATGTGATCCACAAATATTGCTTTAAAAGGTAATTTTCATTTAAAACTTCTTTCAATTCTTTCAATTAGAGGGAAAATTGCAGACATGAATATGTTAAAATGAAAAAGAAAAAAAACATAAATAAAAAGTAAAATTACAACAACCACAAAGGACATTTTTTTTGGATTAAAATAAATAGAATTTATAAACACTTTTGTATTGTACAAACAAAAATTTTTTAAGTCAGAATAAAATTCACTGAATTAAATTCTTTCATTATTAAATGATCCTTTGGTAAATAATTTTTGTAATTGAACATGATATTGATTACCATATTGACTAAAAAGAAAAGAGATAAAAATTTGAATACTAAAAATAAAACTAAAAACAAAATTTTTGCAAGCATATTGTTGAAACAATTTTAACCATTGCGGGGATAGTAGATATCGACAATGTCAATCTTCATTTATGAAAAAGTTCCCCCAACATAGAATCGAGTTAACATGTCTTAAATACTAGTCAACTGAAATTGTAATTTTGTAGTGGTAGATACACTACAGTACTCCCCCACCGGAATTTTATCTGTAATGGAATTCAATGAATAAGCTACCGATTGTTGATTCACTGCTGTTTTGTGAAAAGCCAAGAGAGCTGTATTAAGATCACCATACTTTTTTAATGCTGATCGTGAGAGCTGTATTAAGTTCACTGTCATGGTCGCCTTTAGAAGTTGAGTGAATGCGTTGTACAACAACGCGAAGAGGTGGATAATGTCGCAGTCACAAGTAGCAGGTCAACTGTTCAATGTGGATTATCAATCGAAGTAGGCGTGTTCAGATCTAAGCAGGCATTACTGTCAAGATAGGCGTGTTCATATTGAAGTGGGAGTTTCTGTCAAGGTAGGAATGTTCACATCACGTCCGGGTCACCAAAGTGGGGAGAGTAGATATCAATAATGTCAACCTTCATCTATGAAAAGGTACCTTGACATAGAATCGAGTTAATATGTCTTATATACTAGGGAATTGGAATTGTATTTTTGTAGTGGTAGATACACTATAATCATTTTGTTCATTTAGAGGCTATTCTCCATAATTTGAGAATTAAAAGTCTAATCAAAAAAGTGATTGGGACAGAGAAAACTATGATTTTTGAGGGGAAATGTATTTTTGTAACTGTATTGTAAATAAATTGTTTGCACCAATAAATATGTATACATGCAACAACAATGCATAAAATTTCATTTAAGTGATATAAAATATTTTAATCAGATCAAAAGTTACATAAATAAAATGTTATCAATGCTTAAAAAGTTACCTCATGTAAATATTAGTGTAATATGAATTAAATAAAACTTCCAAAGAAATTCTGAATGGCATTAAATTTTATGATCTGGACAACCATTTCTAAATATCAAACAGATTTTAACACATACCTGCCAACATTGGAGAAATAAAATAATGGAGATTTTACTAGTGACATTTTTTAGCCTATGATTAGAGTTTTAAAACATGCATAAACATGTAAGTCAAAAAGAATCTAAATCTAAAGATTTTTTTTAAACCATTATTTATAATTCCTCAAAATATTAGCACTCAACATCAGTACTGACAATAGCACCATCTTGAGGAATAAGAGAAGTATTTTTGAAATCAGTGGATATTTTATTGCTTTAAAATTATAATTAAAAAATATGTTCTTTTGTATACTTCTCCATTTTTAATAACACTAAACCATAAGCTGTCCTACAACCTTTCTTTTTGGTTGGAAACATTTTATAACACTTTAGCAAATCTATCATAGACACTTGATATAAAATTGTATATGAATTATTATATGATTTCTGCAACAAAAACAATTCAATCTGTAAAAGAATATAAATAAGAAATAATTGCTGGATAATTACTTTTAGCAATATCTTTTTCATGGATGATTTTTCCACCTCTTTTACTGGTTTTCTCTACTTGTAAGGCTTGACTCATCCCCTGTTCTTTTTTTCCTAAACCTTGACCTTCTTTAAAGCCATATTTAGCCATAATTCTAGCAGCCACAGAACTCCTAGAAAGAAAATTTGAGTATAGGCATTAAAAATTATTAACAATAAAAAAAGCTACAAATTATTTCATTTAAATTAAGAAATGTTTTATAAAGGCATTTTCAACAAATAAATAAAAATTTAATTACAAAGATTTTTTAGGACTTATACTATTTATTGTTTTAAAATGCTTATCAAGTTTTTGAGTTACTATATCATTTTCAAGCTACTATATCATTGAGCTACTATACCATTTTAGTTTTTGAGCAACTATATCATTTCAGTTTTTGAGCTATTATATCATTTTAGTTTTTGAGGTACTCCTACTGTGAGCAACTAACCAGAAGTACTAAAAATTTCTTTAAAAAAATTCTTACTTTCGGTTTGTAACTTACAAATTTATATAACTAGTAAATATGAAATCAATTTATTGCAATCTGCCAAAATTGTACTAATAGCTTACAATCCATGGTTCGGCGATCATTGCTTTGATCTCATTTGAATAAAACTTGAAATCATTATTATAATTATTTCTATATTCTATTATTGTCAAATTAGTTTTATATAAAACTTTACATAAGAAGTATAAAGTTTGTTGATAAAATATTATTTTTCAAAATTAAAAAAAAAGTAGACATTATAAAAATTTAAATTCCACAAACAAATTATTTAAAAATACCAAAACAGAACTTGCAGTTTTTAAAATTCATGGCATTGACAAAACATTCTGCATTTAAAATTCCACAAAAAAATTTTTTTTAAGAGAATAGGGCGTTTTTACAAATATTAGAAATATTAAAATATATTTGCACATTTTTTAAGAAATTAGAATGAGCATGCACATTTTACACGACTAGCAAAATGCAAAATAATTTGTTTGAAAAAAGTATTTCTAATTTTAATGAAAAATAATATTGCACAGTAAAATTGTCAGAAATTTTTAAGTAATCAATTCTACCGCCAGCATACTTTTTTAGAAAACATCTTATAATTCTTAACTTCTGTTTTGGAAGAAAATATGATAAAACAATTACTTTTTTGGTTTATAAATTGCTTTCTACTTATACTTAATATTTTGCCTGTAATTTAAAAAATAATTTTCAATATCCCTAACATTATAAAGTAAAGCAATTTTCTAACTGGCTGTAGTTAGTCAAAATATGGTTTCCACTAAATAACTGTCCAAGGTAAAATACCGAGAAATGATACACCAGCAGCGGATAAAATTTTATACAGGGTGCGTTGCCAAATTTTTCAACAAAAAATAAGCACCCTGAGTACTTTTTAAGCAATGAAAAATATTTTAAAGCATTGTATACATTAACAAAATGCAAAAACTTTACATGATCATGATAAAATAACTAGTTTCTGACAAAGAAATATTTTCTTAATTATGTTAGTCACCATAAAGAGATCAAGAGATTTCTCGATTCAATTTCAGAGGAAGTTTCCTGAAAAAATTATTACAGCCAAGTTATTACATATAAGTTTTCCTGTAAATTATTACAGCCACAAAACTACTTGAACTTGGCTGACTATAGAAATAAAACTACAGAATAGAAATCTTTGTTTTTCTTTTTATTTGTACAAATCATGAATCTAGATAAAACTATAATGTGTTAATTATTTATCTTCCGAAATAATTTAACTAATACTGTTTTATTTTATAATGACTTTACGTTTTCCATCAAAATTTGCATAAATTGAATCTGGGGTATTAAATTTTTCAGAATGAAGCCTTTCCTAACCATTTTGGTTAATTGAAAGTTTACTGTTGCATTATCAAATTAAAACCAAACAAATTTCAAGGAAAGCATACATATTATCATATATATTTCAAATCAACAGTTAGAAACAAATTAAATTACAGATAAGAAATATCAAGGGTCAAGTCAATTTAAAAAAATTCTTCTTACCCAGACTGAAATGGGATGGAAGGTATCGACGCAGGTTCCCTTTTTTCAGCTGTTTCCAATAAGGAGGGGGGCGGTGCAATTGCTGCACCAGCATTTGGAACTGAAAAGTGTTTTAAAATATTAAAGTAACTTATATCAACAGAGTACAACGTGTGATCATAATGCCATGGTTACAACAACAACTTCAGACATTTTATTTTCTATAAAAATCAAATGAAATATTATTGTCCCTACAGTAAAAAATATAAATGAGTTAAAAACACATAAATGTAAGTCAACTTTTCTTAAATTGTGCAAAATTGTGTTAAAGTTGCTTTCAAGTTATAAAAAATCTCTAAAACAGTACTTCTATTACACCTATTTTGTTTCTGAATTTTAACAAGAGTGAAACAAGATGTTGGGTAAGAAATCGTAAAAAAAAAAAGTTACTTTTCTGATGGACTAGAAAGAGTTAATATGTACTAGTCCACAAACAATATCACTGGTCCACTCAAAATTTAACATTAAATAAATTTACACAATGCACAAAAATAAAAATGAAACACTGAAAAAAACATTAACAATAAAAATGAAAAACATTAAAAAACGAGCCTCCAAAATGTAGTAGATTTTTCAATGAAACCATTTATAATTTAAAGCGAAACAAATCTTATCCGCAGGTGTTCTTTTCAAATACTATCATATCCCTCAAAGGTGTAGCATGAGGCAGGCACATATTTTATGCTTGAAAATTGTTCCTCTATTTTCAATTTTATATATCCATTTATATATAAACAGTTATAAAAAAAATAAATATGCATATATACATATAACTTAAAATAAACGAACAGTTTTCTAAAAATAAAAAGTGCGCCTCCCTTATTTTAAATCAAAAGCAATAACAATTGATATTCTAAAATTGAAAAAAAGTACCCCTGCGAGGACGATCATCTTCATATTCTTCCTCAGGTGGTGGTCTTTCCAGCTCCCTATTATTTCTATCGTAATCTCGATTTCGATCATATCTATCTCTTCTGTTGTATCTTAAATAGAGACAAAAATAATTACTTTTATAACATTGATGAATTGAACCTTAGAATTAAGATACTTGATAATTTTTGTTTAGACCATCTACATATATACATTTATGACAGTACAATTTACAGCTTAGGGGTCAAAAGTAGACCTCAATGGATTATGTTTATAAAGATAATAGAGCTTTATGGTAGTCTTTTAATGTACCTGCCAAGATTGGAGAAATAAAATAACGGAGATTTTACTAGCGACATTTTTTTATGTTATGAGTAAAGTTCTGATATATCATGCATAATCATGAAAATCAAAAAGAGAAATTCAAAATTGGAAATAATATAAGCACTTACATTCAGCGAAGTAAAAAATATGTATATAAATCGTAATCTAAAGAAGATTTTTTTAAAACCATTATTTATAATTACATAAACTATTTTATTTTATAACCCTCGTTGAACAGCCGACTCAATTTAGGGTTGCAACTACTAGTGTTCAACTCTGTAGCCTTGTAATTTAGAATTAAATCCAAAAGACAAGGGAACTCCTGAATCAAGTATTGGGAGAAATTTGCAGTCGTGGAAGACTTTTTGATGGAACTAACTCGCATTTCCATTACATGGAGAGAGAAACCTCTCACAGCAACCGTCAGGCAAATCGTTCTAACTCATGATCCATCTACCTCTGAGAATATTTTACGTCAGCACTGCGGTCGGTGCGAGCCGGATTCAGAATTCGTAACAACCAGTCATAGCAGGGATTCGAATTCGGCTCACCTCAATAGAAGGAAAAAGCTTTATCCCCTGAGCCATCACTTAACATACTGCAATAGCACCATCTGCTGAAGAATAAGAGAAGTATTTTTGCCATTAGCAAATATTTTATCACCAATTTTTTTTCTTTTAATTTCTTCAACAAATACTGAGAAATTTGAAAATATGCGGGTAAACAGGAGATAGTTGTAAAATACAGGTGTCTTCGCTAAAAAACAAGAGACTTGGCAGGCATGTTTTCAAATATCCAGAAATATCCTAAAAAAATAGTCAACCTTTTCTTTACAATCCACTTTCATATGTATACCGTTAGTAATATTGCAAATTACAATGAACATTATTTAAAACTAACAAATCAGTCTTAATTGCTAACAAAATTGGCGAGAGGAAATAAGTAATAAAAAATTTTTTACCTATCGTTTCTTCTAGGCTTTTCCTCGTAATCTCCTCGAACATAATCACGATCCCTTTCCCTGTCTCGATCTCTATCTCTATCACGATCCCTATCTCGATCTCTGTCTCTATTGTCACGTTCTCGTTCTCGATTACTCTTCCTATCTCTTTCACTTCTGTCTCGCATTATTCTTTCGTAGTCGTTGGGCCAAAGTGGTTCATATTCTTGTCTGATGTCCCACTCTCCTCCAAGTAAAGTTGTATTTCCTTTACTTTCCTGAAATAAACAGTACACCAGAATAAAAATTATTAATAAAACTTTAAAAAGAAAAAAGCAAAGAAAAAAATACTATATAATTAAAAAATGCAATTAAAGTAATAAATTTGTCAACAGCAAACATTTTTACTAACATTGTTCACACGGTACAGTCTAGTATAGGAAAAGGAAAAGCTTTCAAAGGATTAAGTAAATAATTTATATTAGTGATTTGTTAATAGTACAGTTATAATTAATAAACAAGTAATATAAAAAAATTTGAAGTCAATTCCTACTTAGGTCAACAAAGAAAAATTTTAATTTAGTTACTTTTTATTAAATAATTACAATTTTTTCTCCCATATAAAACTAAAATTAATTAATTACAATTAATTAATTAATTAATATTTGAAAAAAACTGTATTAACATCAAGTGCTATCCTCTACAAGTTAAAGAAAATGTATTTATTTGAACTCGAGTGGAAGAATAAAAAGTATTTTATTGAAGATTGAAAATTTGAACAAGATATAGGGAGAGAGTGAACTATCAAGATATATCAAGATACATCAGATACTGTTCCCTATACTATCAAGATATAGGGAGAGTAGGAACTGAAAAATATGTTTATTAGAAATTTAGAGCACACTTTCATTTATTATCAATCTTTGCTTTCTATGTTAGATTAGTTACCTGGAGCTGGAATTCTATCTAATGCTTTGCAACAAAACATGATAATTACAATATGAGGGTATCATCAAAAATTAAACACATCTCACAAATTAATTTACCATTTCTTTTAAATAACAAACCATTGCATTTTTTAAACAAAATTTGCAATAATAAGAGACAACAATTGGTTCAAAATTTTTAATTATTAGGTATTCCAAAGCGTAATCTTTAATACAGGGTAAAATTAATTGTACTGCAAAATTAGGGGGCAGATTTCTAAATCACCAGAACTTGCTCCAAAAAAAAAAAAAAAAAAAATTCTCCTAGGACTTTGATAGTTTTAAGACATATGTAGCAGTTTTGAGCACTTTCTCTGTGTTAGGAGGTTAGCACAGGCAAAATCAATATGGATAATGGTAGCAACAGACTGAGCATTTGTACACAGGATCCCTCCCCGTGGCAGAATCAATGCGACATTGTCGCAGAACGTTGCCAAGTTCTTGCAGAAGGATCTTTTCTTTGAGAAATAAAAATTTTTGCTTTTCTTTACTGCAGAAATTTTCAAAAGATTTTATCTTTTCTTCAAAATTACATTCAAAAGATGACATTCTTGCGCATCGGAGTAGAAAGAGAAAAAAATGCTTCTGATTTTTCTATTCTCATTTGAAAATAATGAATTAAAAAATTTAGTTTTCTTTTCTGTAGAAAATTTCGTTCTATTTTTTCATGCAGTTATTAATACTGATTTCTACATAGCTTTTTAAATCCGATATTATTTATTACAACAACTAAATCTCAAAATGAAAACACCTATTACGTGATTTCGCTGTCGATCTTTTTTTGCTCAGTAGTTGCTGCTACATATTTCGCGTTTTTTTTTCTTTTTTTTTTAATGTGATGGTGAATTACAAAATGTGAAAAAGGAAATAATTAGTGTGTTATCTAAAAGGGAAATAATAAATGTGTTATCTTTCTACGGAATTTAGTACTAGTGTTTTTTCCTATTACAAAATGTGAGAATATCGCCCATATTAGAATTAAAAAAATACCGCACATTCAATTAAAAAAATATATTTTATTTGATTCAATTTTTTTTATTTATTTTAAGTTAATGTTTCTATTACTTTAAATTAGTACAGTGGGTGATCGGTTAACGAACATAATCCGTTCCAGGACTTTGTTCGCTATCCAAATTGTTCGCTAACCGATCATCGATTCACCATAGACTTCTATGTGAAATTGATTAATTCGTTCTGGAGACCCTAAAAATTAAATTTTAAAAAATGTATGATTTCTTAGTAAGTTTTTTAAAAAATAATACATATATATAGTCTTGCATATTAATCAGTCCTTTTCATTTTTTGTTTATGGGGCATTGAAGAACATGTCCAATGTCGATTGCTTTTCTCTCTTATTCAGGATTTTAGGAAAGTAATTAATAGCATTGTCGTTGTAAAGATCCCCAACCCTACTGACATCAGCTTGGCTTGTGTGCCTTTCTAAGACCATTGCTCTGACATCCTCCCACTTTTTCAAAAAATCTTTAATGGCAGATGTCGTCATTGGTCCTCTTTTGTCTTCCTCTTGTTCAGAAGGAGACACATTTCGCTGTGTTTCTTGGTGTTCTTCATTCAAAATTTCCTGGAGTTCTTCTGTCGTTAGTTCATCTTCATGTCCCATTATGAGCTCTTCTATGTCATCCTCGTCACCTCCACTTCCAGATCTCTAGCAGTTGTCAAAATTTCATCCATAATTTCAGGGGTGTCTCCCTGATCACCTCCGTCTCCTTGAACGAAGGATGGACACAGCTTCCGCCAAGCAGAAATCAACTGTCGCTGTGTGACTTCTGACCACGCCTTTTGAATGATACGAATAGCTTCAAGAATGTCAAATTTTTCTTTCCTAAACTTTTTTGAAGTCATTGTTGAGGAGAATTGGCTTGCTTCAAAACACCGACGAAACAGCGCGCGAGTGTACAATTTCTTGAAAGCCGCAATAACCTCCTGATCCATCGGCTGAATCAGCGAAGTCGTATTCGGAGGTAAAAACTGAACTGTCAGCCAGGGAAAGTCTGTCAACAAATTATCTTCAAGATCCTTTGGATGTCCTGGTGCATTGCCCAATAGCAGCAGTGCTTTCAACGGCAAATCATTGGTATCAAGGTAGTCCCTGATGCTAGGGGCACAAACTAGCCATTCCTTGAAAAGATACTGTGTGACCCATGCCCTCTGATTCGATCCCCACATTACTGTCAGTTTGCTCTTAGTTATGGAATTTTTTTGAATGCTCTGGGATTCTCAGAGTGCTAAACGAGAAGTGGTTTAACTTCATATCACCACTAGCGTTAGCTCCCAAAAGTAACGTCAATTGGTCTTTCATAGGTTTATGCCCAGGAACACTTTTCTCATCTTTCGTGATGTAGGTACAATTCGGCATGCGCTTCCAAAACAAACCAGTTTCATCACAATTAAATATTTGTTGTGGACGATACCCTTCTGTTTCAATGAATTCTTGAAATTTGAGACAGTACTTCTCAGCTGCTTCTTTATCTGCACTAGCAGACTCACCATGCATTAATACATGTTTAATTCCAGACCTTCTTTTAAACTTTGTAAACCAGCCAGTGGTAGCCTTGAATTCTAACTCCTCGGATGACGAACCTGGAGTTTGTTCTTTCAATTTCTCACAAATTTCTCTAGCCTTCTCTTGAATGATAGGCATACTAGTTACATCTCGTTTCATTTCCCGTTCATTTATCCAAACTAAAAGCAACCTTTCCATTTTATCATGGATGGCACTTCTTTGCTTCGCAGATGTGATTTTCGTTACTCCTTCATTCTCCATAATTCAAGTTTCATTTAGTAATTATCAATACTAAGCATGCTTTAAACATTTCTCCTTTCAGTGATCTTATTTTGTATGCAAAATGATAACAAATGTTTAATATTAATTTTTCTTCAGGCCGAGAAGTGTTCGTTAGAATTCGTTTTGTTCATTATCCGAATATGTGTTCGTTGTCCGAACTCAAAAAATCTTTTTTGAAAGTGTTCGTTATCCGAACACAAAAAACTTTCGTGAAAGTGTTCGTTAACCGATCTGTTCGTTAACCAATCACCCACTGTAATATGTATATCTGTTATTTTTAAATAACTTGCAGAAAGATATTAGTATTAGAGAGGTATGTCACAGAAAGCCCGAAAAAATTTTGCCACAGGGGGACCCCTTTACTTCAAAGTATAGTACTTATTAGAAAAAAAGATTATTATTTTTCAATGGTGATACAAAGTACTTTTTTGATTCTATTTACAAATTGGTAAAGATAAAGTAATTAAAGCTTTCGAAACTTATTATTCAAATTTATTTTATCAGGCCCATTTTTCTAGTTGTCCTAATAGTCACATGATTTTCATAAATTATATCAATAACAAATACTTCTGAAAATACTACTAAATATTTTATAAGATTTTGCATATTATACAGACTTAACATTTATAATTCAAAGTTAAACAATTAAGAACTTCGAAATTTATAATTCAGATATTTTTTATGTACTTTATTTTAGTTGTTCAACTAATTGTCAGATAGTTTTCATAAATTACTGCTTTAATCTTTGAAATTGTTTGCAAATATTTCATATGATCTAATATTCATTACAGACTTTGATACTTAACAATTATGATTCCAAGTTACATATTTATGGTCTGCATCCAAACTAGCCTTTTTGCAAAGACTGGGAAACAAATTTAAACTCTCGGACTTACTTTTGGCCCAAGACCCAATATGGGTGAGTGTATTTCTTCTGAATCATCTCTTCTGGACTTTAAATCAACAACTGGAGGCAGAACGGTCCCACCTTTTTTCATTTGTTCTTTCTGAAATAGATAATGCAGGAAAATTCAGTTAAATAGAGAAGTAAGAACTTTAAATTAACATCAGCTAATAGATAATAAAGGAAAACTCGGTTACATTGAGAAGTAAGAACTTTAAATTAACATCAACTAATACACTAGTGTGCAAAAGTTTTTGGTCAACACGTGAAAGGCATTTCAACCTTTCTATGCGGTTTCATTTCTTTTTTTTTGTAGAGATAATTTCTGTTTTATTTAGTCAAGCCAACATAGATATTGCATTTGATTTCAGAATTTTTACTTTTCTTGCAATTTAATGGAAAATGTAATCTTCTACGGATTAAATTTAAATCTTTGCACTCAGTTCAGTTGAATATTTCTTTTTTTTTTTATATAATTCGAGTCTTGTAAAAACTAATTCTTCAAAAATAAATGCCAATATTAAATTAAAGTTAAAATCATGATTTCCGTAAATAAATATGCAAAGCTTATGCTTATTTGTTAAAATTGTATCTTTCAATTTTATTTTTATCCAATTCTTAGATGTCAGAAAATCGCTTCAGGAAAAACAAATACCCGACTGATATGAAAATTGCATTTAAATTAAAGTGACTTTCAAAGCGCTAATTTTGCTTTCTGGTTGATAAGCATATCAAAACTGTTTAGGAATAAAATTATACATTATTTATTGCATATCCAATTAACCTTTTGCACGCAATTATAATCTTTTGCTATGATCTTATAATCCTTTGCACGCAAGTGTAGATAATAAAGGAAAATTCGGCTAGATTGAGAAGTAAGAACTTTAAATTAACATTAACTAAATTATTAGAACGAGATCACTATACATGAAAAATAATTTTAAAATAAGCCAGACAATGTACAAGATAAAACACAAAACCCCATGTCTTAAACACAAATGGAACATAACAACCATTTCTGTTACATAGAGGTGCATAGTTTGTCTATGGTAAAAACTCACCCCCCCCCTCCGCCACAAAGTCTGAGGTCGTCTGCTAATATGAAAACAAAAATCGCACATTTCAGGGAGGGTAGCTTCTCTTCACTCTAGGACTAACACAATAGACCAAAGAAAAGCCCTTTCTCTGACCGACCTGAGCGAAAACTTATTCTAAAGATTAACCCCCACCCCTACTTGAAATAATTATACCTTGTCACCATAGTCACTGCCACTGGTCCAGATAATGGCTAGGGGAGTTCTTATTTTAGACAAACTATACCTTCATTAGGGCCAAAACAAAACAATAAAAAAGAAGAAGAAAAGAAATTACATAGAAACAATAACATAAAGAAGGGGGATTTTAATCATCTAAGAGAATATAGAGACACAAATCGTTAGTAACATAGCTGGTAAGAGATAGAACTTTAGAATTAATTGTTATCAGAAGTTTAATAAATAGATGCATTAGAGTTATGATGGCTGTGGGAATAGAGCATTCACCTTCCAATGTGGTGAACCAGGTTCGAATCTCAGCAATGGCTGGTCGATACGAATTCCACACCCGGCTCGCATTGACCACAGTGCTGACGTAAAATATCCTCAGTGGTTGACGAATCATGGGTTAGAGTCCCCTTGCCAACAAGCTAACCCTGAGAGGTTTTGCGATTTTCCTCTCCATGTAATGCAGATGAGGGTTAGTTCCATCAAAAAGTCCTTCCAATACTAGGAGTTCCCTTGTCTTCTGGATTAGGTCCAAAATTACAAGGTTACGGAGTTGAACATTAGCAGTCTTAAACTCAAAAAATTGGGTCGGCTGTTCAGAGACAGTTATAAAATAAAATAGATGTATTAAGCAATAAAAATTGATGGAATATAAATGTTGAGACTGTTTTTACCTTTGCTTGGGTCAATGCTGCTTTCTTGAGTTGCAATTGAGACTGTAATAACTTAATACCAGAAGACCATCCAACTAAAATTGCATAGTTAGAATAAGCAGATGAAACACAAGCATGAAAATATGTTCACACAAAATGCATAGGAGTTGTGCCCTTATGCATTAAAATCTAAACCTACAATTTCAATTTTTTATTCTCAAATTAAGAATATTTTATAAAAATAATAAAACAGTTTAACTACTGAGATGTTTATCCTTAAAAGCAATTTTGAAAATTTTAAACAAATAAGATAAGAGTGCATAACCTGCAGCACCACAGTCGGCCCACAGACTGTTGATGTGCGACTCGCAAAAACTTCTGGCCACACACAAAAAAAGAATTTTTTCGAAAATATACAAAAAATGTGGTTTTTTAATGCGCCCGATTTAAACCAATTCAACTGTAAATATATGTTGTATCGTGATCGCTTTTTCCATGGTTATTGTAATAAAATTCTACATGGTTTTAAAAAATCCAATATTTTTAATACAATACTACAATTTGCGAATTTCAGTAATCACTTTTTTTTGACAGGCTATATTTTTGCGGTTTTCATTGGAAATCCAAGTGATTGTTCGATAGGTTTCTTTTTGGCATTTATAACTACCAATTTCCATGTGGTTTTGAAAACTTTGGTACATTTATCATGACATTCCCACTCGTGAGTTATGAATCGCTTTATCGATCACATTTAATCAATCACTTTTTGATGTGCTTTATTTGTGCCGATTTGATACTAAATCTGAATGATTGTTTCTTGCTTAAAAGGCAGTTATTGCTACACTTTTACATGTGATTTTGAAAATCCCATATTTTTACAACACGTAATCACTTTTTGAGGCAACTTCTTTTTGCTAATTTTTATCGTGAATCCAAGTTATTTTTCAAAAAAAATTTTTTTACAGTTTTTGTGATTTTTTCCTCCATGGTTTAAAAAACTTTGATTTTTTATTAAGGCATGCGAATTTTAAATCACGCATGTAAATAATTACTTACTGACGTGCTTTATTCCTGCAGATTTCATCAGAAATGTAAACCTTTTTATTTTTTGGAAATTACCGATATTTCTCAACAATTTTGTCACTTAAAATCATGCAGTTAAATAATCACTTTTTGATACTATTTATTTGTGCATATTTTATTATAAATAAGTTAACTTTTTCGTCCTTTTTTTCTGCAGTTAACGCCATGCATGTGTTGGTGGTATTTAGAATCCAGATATTTTAATTCACAGTATTCAACCTGAAAATTTTGGAACTGAAGGAAAACATGAATTATTTGTAATTTTTTTTTTTTTCAAAAGTTTTTGTAGCTTAGGTGATTTTTTTAAGAAAAAAACTATAAAAGAAGTGTTTGCTATTTAAAATTTCTAACAATTAAAGAAATAGAAATAACATCTGAAGTATAATACCAAATAAATAGTGAATCTTATTTGTACTCTAATGGTTTTTGTTTTAATTTTTGCTTAAACCCTACAAATTTTCTTTAATTAAAATATGTATGCATTTGTTTTACACTTTCGTGCTGTGAGCATAACTATTTTTTTTTTTAAATTTATATATTTTCTCCCAGTATATATATATATATATATATATATTCCTTCCATAAAAAAAAAATTAGTGCTTAGACTACTAACGTTTGAACGAAAATTATCAGATTCTGCAACTAAACTAAATATGTGTATATAGCAGAACAAAATATGTGTGCAGCCGTTCATTGATCAACCTGACGTGCAAGCGACCTTTCGCTAAAAAGGTCGTGTATCCCTAAAATAAGATCAACATCTTTCAAGTTTTAAATAATATTTTTATGAACAATAATAATTGTTTCTATAATTATTGAATCATTCAGAGATTGAAGGTCAAACCATGTTTTCACAAAAATAAAAATTTTACATTTGTATGAATAATTAAAACTTGATGAATAATATGAATATAAATAATAGACTTGAAGAATTGTATGATTATAAATAATAGCCTAGTTTATAACAAATAACATATAATTAGTACCAAGATCATTTTTAGGATCTCTCTGAACCTTCTCTTTAGAATCCAATCCAAGTCCATCATAGAGAGACATTATTCTAACAAATAAAGAAATGATTATAATAATGATTATTTATGAATAATGATTAAGTAATCAAACAAATGTACAGGGTATCTGCTACATTTTAGATTTTCAAATTTTTGATTTTCCATGACTAAATCCAAGAATTTTTCGTGACTTATAAAGTTACTATTTTCCCTGACAAAAACTACAACAATACATTTAAAAAAGCATTATAACAACATTTATTGAAATTATAGGTAAAACTAAAACTGTTATACTTTGCATCTTTACATTTATAGATTTTAAATCTCAAAAACAGAGTAAAGAAAGAGTTGAAGCAATAAAATAGCTGAAAAAATACAAAAGCAAAGATTTTTTTTTTCCTTTTTCCTGTAAAATTATGTTCTAAAGATACTTTTCTTGTTCATCAGAGAGGAAAGAAATGCTCATAATTTTTCTGTTCTCATTTCGGAATAAAAAATATTCATCAATGACTGGCTTGCTTCATCTAGAATTTTAAATTGATAAAAAAATAATAATAATAATAACAAAAATTCTGAAATCACAGAAATTTAAAAGATAATTCGCTCTAAAAATTATGTTTTTTCTTACATTTTTTGAAAGAACACCATAATTTTTAAAGAACATGATAAAACATTTTATATTTTAATAAAATATGACTGTGAATGGGGATTTTATTACAAATTCAGGTATTCGGAACACCATGAAATTGGGGGAGGGGGTGTAAATTCCATTTTGAAAATTAAATTTTTTAGCGACCTAAATCCATGATTTTTTTTAAAAAATAGTTAAAATCATGACATTTCATGACAAATTTTGTTCAATACCCAAATTCATGACTTTCTAGGTGCGCAGATACCCTGAATTTAAAAGGTTTTACACAGAAAAAAATTTATTAAACTAATCCTATGGATAGTTAAAAGTGAATAATAACTAGTGCCAAGAAAACTATTATTTTCAGAAATATTAAACATCAATTTACACTACAAAGAAAAGAAAATCGTCATAGATAATAGGTGATGGCAATATGAGAGAATTCAAGAATAGCAGATCCAATTTTAACAATTTTCAAAAAACATATATAAACACATTTATTCCAGATTTATTCAATTTTTAAACTTTGAAATTAAAAGCTTTGCAGACAAATAAAGAAAATATATTGTCATAAAAATATGCTTATCTCTTTCTCCTGCCTTCGTTATTTGCTTTTCGAGAAGTTGTCTATTTGCAGTATACTAAAAATGACTCAAGTAAGAACAGGTTTTAATTAACCCAGAGTTTATAAAGTCATTATTGTATCTGACTCTGCATGGCACGACATGGTAAAGAGAAAAATCTCATTTTCGAAAAGGGATTTTAAGCACTTTTTAAAAACACCCAATGAAAAAAGCACCTTTAGAGGCTTTTAAAAAACGAAAATCAAAAATAAGCACCTTCAAGCACTTTTTAAAAATGCTAAACAAAATTGCATTGATAATAAATGCATAATATTTTTACTGTCTCCCAAAACAGAGTTGCATTTTATTAACTTTCTTAATTTTTTTAGCACTCAACCAATTTCAGAAGCATCATAACAAATAAAAATGTAAAACTTATAAATTAAAGATATCTTTCTTTTGCCACTTGGAATATGAATACAATGCAACTAAACTTTTTATATTATTTTCTAAATGGAAAGATTTCTGAATGGGTACCGGCCAGGGTTGGAGTTTTTGCCGGCAAAAAGGGGTTTTTGCCAGGACAGTGGCAAAAACCAGGTAAAAACCGGCAAAAACTGGTAAAAACCGGCAAAAACCAAATTATCTAAATTGCTGATTAAATAATTACAAAATACTTTAAACAAATTTAAATCAATCATAAGGAATAATAATTTTGATACATTACATGAAAAAATTATTTTTAACATATTAATAATTAATATAAGGGTAATAATTTTTAAAAGATTGAAAGTTTTTGATCTCTTTTCATTTTAGAATCCTAAAATAAATGTTTTTTTTTACAAATAAATAAATATTATTATTTTTATAATATTATTATTTATTATAAAAAATTTTATTTATTATTTGTACAATAATTAACTACACATGTTGATAGATATTTTATGCTTTAAATTATAGTTATATTAATTTAAAATAAGTTCATTTCACTTGAAAAAAGGGAATAATCACAAATTTTCCAATCAATAATGTTTTAAACTACTAAAATGATATATTATTACATTATCATTCAATTATGGAATAATAATTTTGTTAATTTTTTTGTAATTATTTATATTCATAGTATATATTTCAATTTTGTATCAAAAATGTGTTTTTGTCCTCTCATCATGGAAAATATAGGTTTTTGCCACTTTTTGCCAATTTGCTTGGTAAAAACCTGTTTTTGCCAGGACGGTTTTTACCGGTATTTACCATGGTTTTTTCCACCTGCGGCAAAATCTTGCCAACCCTGGTACCGGCTACAAAATAATTGGCGGGTTCAGTGACATCCAGGTATTGACGCATAAGAAACATTAAAAAAAATCAAAAACCTGAAGGAATAACTCATAGACAACACCTGGCAAACATCTACATATTTCTTTTAATTTTTGGAAGTTTAAATACCCTTTGGCAATTGTATTTGGCACACACACACAAGAACCAAAACGGAAATACGAGTTCCCTCCTAAGTTAGTAATATACATTTTTTTAGAAATGATGAATATTATTTCTCAACAAAAAAAAAGATTGAAGGTTATGATCATCAAAATTCAGTTCTTATAAACATCTGCATTTTTATAACAGTGCAATTGATATTTTTTTTTCTGTTGAATTAAACATAGATATTTGAAGTTTATACCAAAATCATTCAATAATTTCTCCAAGAAAAGAGAAAAGCACCACCAGGTTTCGCCAAGAGCTGATCAAGCAGTTCTGTAGAAGCGAGGTTTTGTGATTTTATTGCTTTATTATCACCACAATTTAGAAGCAGTGGTAAATGTTCAGACCCTGCAAAAAATTAAACAATTTTATGCCAAAGAAAATGCATGATCATAGGAAAAACAAGTAAGCATAGATAGTAAGATGACTTTCACAAATTTTATTAAAAAGAAGATTGGGCAAAATGAGTTACGAATTGAAGTATGCACGAATACATGCTTTTGTTCAAGTTAAAATCTTTAATTGCTGTATAACACAAATGTATTAGAATTAACATAATTTTCTAACAAACCTCCGAACAATATACTGAACAGCTATGATGTCCATAAAGATAAAACAAGGAACTCATATAAAAGAAAAAAAAATTTTATATTGATGATAACTGCCTATAAATGTTGAACAACAAATTTTAAGCAATTACAAAAAATACATTTTGAGAACAACAGAGATAATATAAATTTACACTGTTTACCGATTCTGCCTCAACTTCAGCCATATCAACAATACGCTTCCGGCAGCTTAAGTTTGTAGTTTCATTACTGATAACTGCTTAAAAAGCCTGTTAAATATTCGATTTAAATCAAATTGCAAGGGAACTATTTGAGGAGTTATGCTAAAAAAGAATGCTTAAAATATTGTTTAGCTCTGCAAGTGATATTTATGATATTTTCAGTTATTTTAATTTTTCTTTAATAATCGAATCTTTTATCTGAATCTAAATCGAAGGCTTATTTGGTCACGTGACTTTTGAATAGCTGATAGCGGTTGCGATCTTCTAGCGTCTGATTTCGGTTGGCATTTAAAACAACAAAAACATGAATTTTGATAATATTGACAAAACTTTACTTTTTGTTTGATATGAAAGCATTTACATTTTTTTACGAATTATCAAACAAACAGAATTTCTCTACTTATTAACAAATTTATCTAATATTAAATGAGAAAATATGTGATAAAATTTAAAATAGCGGTTAGCATTTTCAAAACAAACTGATCTGCATTGAAACACATATAGATATATGTGTTATCTAGAAGGTTTGTAAATTAGTGTTTTAACTGTTCTCAAAAGCTTGCTTTTTTTTGCATTGAATGATTGCTGATTAAATGTGAAAATAGATTAGCTTATTGCTTCAGTTTAGTTTGGTTTAAAACTCGACTTACCTAATATTTTCTTTTAACTTTCTAGACTTTTGAATCGGCTTTTTCAATTATATGCATGTCTTTTCCCTTCTCATACATTATATTTACAAGACAAGCGCGTAGGTATATCATTTCCATGGGTGGTGTTCAGGAATTCAAAATTGAACTGTTGTTAAATGAATTGTTGTCTAATACTTATGTCTTATAGATTTTTAAATGGAAATTGGTAATGTTTTAAAAATCAAAACTAAGTACTGAATTAATAAATTTAAAACTAAAGCAATAACAAAAGGGATCAAAGAATACAAACTGGAGTGAATAGAACAAAAAGTTAAAAGAATTTTTATGCATAAATAATACTTCTTTTAGCACATTCTGATGTATATACTTTATATTGCTATCCAGAAACTATCTGAACACGTAATATAAATTTTCCCATGCAATTTTTCGCGCAAGTTAGCAGTTTATATGTTATTTACACATTGCTATACAGACAAGTGAGATACTGTTTCGTGTGCATTTTTCTCGCGTAATTGAGTGAGACAGTACGCGAATCATATTTCGAACATTAAAATTATTTTTTTATAAGTAAAATCTAGTTTTAATTAACATTTATTATAAAGAAAACCTTTGTAACTTTTATTCTATCAGCTCAAGGATCTTGTTAAATTCTGTATAATAATTTAATCGAAAAATGTGCCTCACATGTTCAAATAGCTCCTAGATAGCAAAGTAAAAAATGGACTAAATCATGTAAAAAATAGTACTTTTTTAAGCATGAAATTGCTTGAAACTTTTAAACTGTTCATTCTATTGGTTTGTGTATAGTCTCATTCAATTCTTAGAATTTTAAACATGAATAGAATTTTAAATATAGATATGAAATCTTAGAATTTTAAAAACTATTAGTCCGATTGTTTCAGGATGGATATCATTCAATTTAGCGGGGGGAAATATATTGTAATAGATGCCTCACTTGCCACTTTAAAAAAAATTCAATTCTTCTAAAATCACTCACATTTTCCTCAAAAAGATGGAAAACATTCTGTTTTTTTTTTTTTTGTACGAATTTTTTTTAGGAAATTATTAGCTTATTGTTTTATTAAATTAACTTTTTATATAAAATCACATGAAGTAAAACATTTCAGTTATCTGATTTTTACAAGAAAAATTTGAATTTAAACCAGTTGAATACATAAAAAAAATAAGTACATGATTGAAAAAAAAACTTTGTTAAATTGTAATACATTACACTTACTGCATAACTTACTAGGTTTTTAAACTTTTCAGCATTTGCTAAGATGATTTACTACTACTTTTACTACAGAGACAAATACAATGCAAAAACAAAATTTGAAAAATCCCCACATTTACTGTCAACTGTTAAAAATTCAAGAAATTAGTGATTTTGTTGTGAAGAAAAGCAATAGTATTTAAATAATAATATTTCTACAGTACCACCAATGTCGTAGACATTGCCTGAAATTCAATGTTGAACGATGAAATCAATTTAAATATTTGTAAAAGGATCAAAATTTATTAGAATCTTCACAGACTTATTGAGTGTTTATTATATTGCAGTCATGAACATCAATGTTAAATGATATACCGCTATGCAAAGTTCTGGAAAAATAAAAGTAGCAGATCTCAATAATCTTCTCACATGTGTCATCTGCAAAGGCTACTACATTGATGCAACTACCATTGTTGAATGTCTTCATTCATGTAAGATTCTTTGTTTTACTAATCTTTTTTTTTTTTTTTTTAAATAATGAATTAACAGTTAGAAATTATGTTAAATTTGTTTCAAGACAGGGTTCATAGTTGTCCTGATTTTCCTAGTGTTTAATATTTCGTCCATAATGGTCTTGATAATCCTCATTTATGTTAGCATCCCCCTCTTTTTTTCTGAATACAATAGCAGCTTTTAATCCCTTAACGATTCGTTAATTTCCGAGAAAACAATCATAAAAGTGCCTTTTTTTTTATCCAATCACAAATACATGTATTTGATTAGTGCTGACATCTAGTTTAAAATAAACTATTACCTTAAAAATATTCTGGTACTGCCATCTGGTGTGTAAATGAAATATTTTCTGGGCAAAAGAAATGAATTCGTTTTATTCTTATTGGTGCATTACTACTGAACACTCCAGCCTGGAAATATCACGAGAAAAAGAAATAGAGGGTGAAACGTCATTTTCGCGGGAGCTAGAAGGAAGGGGTTAAAATAATCAATTTGGATTTTCAGTCTTCAATTTTTTTTTTATAGCAATTATGCTTATAAAAATCTCTAAATTTGACAGTTTTAACTTGGGGGCTGAAGTCTTTTAGTATGCCTATAATTATTTTTTATGAATTAAAATTTTTTCTCTTGTTTTGATGAAATATGTATATTTAGCATAAAAGGGATACTAAGATATTGTTGAGGGAAAAATTCAGTTATTACATATTATTACGCATTTTAACAAATTCTTACGGTGTTAAATGATTGTCCTTTTCTGTGAGGAAGAGCCATCCCCTCTTCAGAGGATCAAAATTGGGATGTCTTATGATTATCCTCAGGGTTGTTTCCTAAACCGTCACCAATAACCCATTGTACAGCTCCAGTGCGGCGTAAATGAAGTACCTACCTATAATGATAAATCGGTCGTGTTTTTTGTTTTTTTTTGTACTATGTTTAAATTGTTGATCTTATTTGTTGCATTACAGTAAAATATATTTCCTCTTGAATTTTAAATCTAAACATTTGGGTAATCACTTTTTTGTTATTTTGCTATGTTTATCTCTAACAACTAATCATGCCTGCCGAATCTCCTGTTTTTTAATGAAGAGTCTTGTATTTTGTGACCATCTCCTGTTTACCTGCATATTCTCAAATTTCTCTGTATTTGTTATAAAATATTTTTTTTTTTTTAAAAAAAAACCTGTTTTAAAATATCCACTGATAGCAAAAGTATTTATCTTATTCCTTAACTGCACTGCAATATGTTGAGTGTTAATAGTTTAAGTTGAGCCGTGATTGCTCAGGGGGTAGAGTGTTTGCCTTCACAATGAGGTGACCCAGGTTCGTATCCCACAGATAGCTAGTTGATTCAAATTCTGCTCTGACCACAGTGCTGACGCAAAATATCCTCAGTGGTAGACGGATCGTGGGTTAAAATAGCCCATTACCGCCAGGCTAACTGTGGGACGTTTTCGTGGTAGCACAAATACGGGTTAGTTTCATCAAAAAGTCCTCCACAAAAGCAAATTTCTCACAATACTTGATCTAGGCAGGGTATCTGCGCACCTGGAAAGTCATGAATTTCGGTATTGAACAAAATTTGTCATGATTTTAACTATTTTTCTTTTTAAATCATGAAAAGTCATGGATATCATGACGAATATCTGAATTTGTAATAAAATCCTCACTAAGTCATATTTTATTAAAATATAAAATGTTTTATCATGTTCTTTAAAAATTATGGTGTTCTTTCAAAAAATGAGAGAAAAAACGTCATTTCTAGAGTGAATTATCTTTTAAACTTCTGTGTTATTAGAATTTTTGTTTTTACTTTTTTTTTATCAATTTAAAATTCTAGTTGAAGCAAGTAGTCTTTGGCGAATTTTTTTTATTTCGAAATGAGAACAGAAAAATCAGGAGTATTTCTTTTCTTCCGATGAACAAGAAAAGTATCTTAGAAGAATATAATTCCGCAGAAGAAGAAAAACTTTTTGCTTTTGTATTTTTTTCAGCTATTTGATTGCTTTACTCTGTTTTTTAAATTTAAAATCTATAAATATGAAATGCAGAGTATAACAGTTTTGGTTATATATTTCAATTAAATTTACTATTGAGTTTTTGTCGGGAGAAAGTAATAACTTCGTTAAGTCATGGAAAGATATGAAAAGTCATGAATTTGAAAATCTAAAATGTAGCAGACACCCTGCCCAGGAGTTCCCTTGTCTTCTGGATTGGGTTCAAAATTACAAGACTACGGAGTTGAACATCAGTAGTCGTAAACCCAAAATTGGGTCTGTTAGTAAAATCTCCGTTATGTTGGCAGGCATGACTAGTGTTCAATTTGTAAACATTCAACTGTGCCACAAAGCATTGCCTTATTAGTAAGTGAATTGTTTTTATTTTGCTTGATTAATTAATTGATTTTCAGTGAATAACTCAAAAAATTTGATTTTTTTTTTTTTTTTTTAATTTTATATATATATATATATATATATATATGTTACTAACATCTTTAACTTCTTTTTTTTTTTACTTGTATACAATTTGAAAACTATATTAGGCATTAATCTTAAAAATTTGATTAATTTTCATTGGTTGTACAAATTTTAGTGAATATATTTATTTTAGTTTCCTTAAACATTTTTTACAATGGTATTTCTTCTACTTGATGATTTAATGAATTAATTTTTTTAGTTTGTCGAACTTGCATTGTACGATACTTACAAACTGAAAAATATTGTCCCAAATGTGAAGTTCAAGTTCATAAAACTAGACCATTGGTTAATATAAGGTAATTATGATTTATTTCTTTTAAATTTTTTTATGTAAAAATACTATACCTAAAATGAAACGAAATTACCTTTTTTTTTTACAGATCAGACCAGACACTCCAAGATATCGTTTATAAACTAGTTCCAAATTTGTTCAAAAGTAAGTTAAATTTATTTTCAATTTTGAATTGTATATATCAATCAGTTATAATTTTTATTATTTTAAACATCTGCACGATATTTGGACACCTGGAAAGTCACGAACAATCATAGAAAGTCATAGATTTTGATATTGAACAAAATTTTTCATGATTTTAACTCTTTTTTTTTTAAAAAAATCTGATTCTTAAAATGGAATTAACTCCCCCTTCCCAATTTCACAGTGTTCTGATGTTCCAAATATCTAAATTTGTAGCAAAATCCCCACTCATATTCTATTAATTTATATAAAATGTTTTCATGCTGTTCTTTAAAAATTAGAAGAAAAAAAACGAAAGAAAAAACATAATTTCTAGAGGGAATTATCTCTTCACCTTCTGTGATTTCAAAATTTATTTATTTTTTTATTTTATCAATTTAAAATTCTAGTTGAGGCTTTTTATATTACACATACTTTAAAGAAGAAATAAAACAACTTTAAATAACTACATATATCTGACAGTATTTAGCTATTTGCTTTCGTATTTTTTTTTTCAGCTCTTTTATTGCTTTAACTATTTCTTTACTCTGTTTTTTAAGTTTAAAATCAATAAATAAGAAGATGCAGAGTATAACAGTTTTGGTTATAACTATCATTTCCATTAATGTTATTATGATGCTTTTTTAAATTTCTTGTTATGTTTTTGTGGAGAAAATAGTAACATCTGTAATTCATGCAAAATTCTTTGGAATTATTCATGAAAATTCATGGATTTGAAAATCTGAAATGTAGTAGATACCCTGCATCTAAGATTTTTAAAAAAATTGAAAGGAAGCCTAATATGATGAGTAAAAGGTTTTATTAAATCTGTTTCTTTTTCTTGTGATACTTTTGTTTTTTTATAAGTGTAATTAAATAATTTTTCTTTTTTTGTTGTCACATATTTTCTTTCAATAGATTAATTAAATTATTTTATTTTGAAAGCACTGATAATGTTAAATATCCCTCATAGTCCTATGAGATATCTTACATTCACCAGTTCGCTTAACTCTCTATTCAATAGTTCAATTACCTATTAATTTTGTGTCATTTTATATAATCACTGAATTATTTTGATTATCTTTTGTTTAGTAAGTTAGTGTTGCTTTTAAATGTCCCTTCATTAATTTTCTTAATTTTTTTTTCAGATGAGATGAAAAGAAGAAGAGATTTTTATTCCCAATCAAATATTGGTAAATATTTTACAAAAAAATAGGAATTAATTGTTAAAATGCATTGTTAAGGAATTTTAAATTGTTTTAAAACTTTTCCAAATGATAAAACCTTTTGTTATAACTTTTTATAATAATTTTGTCTTTTTTAAGTTATTATTATCAGGGATGCAGAAATTCTCAGAATCTAATATTTTCCCAGAACCCTACTTTTTGATTTGAAAATTTTCTCAAAATTATGGCGTTTTTTTATTGTTATTGTTGTTTTTCAAAATATTATTAGAAAGTAAATTTTGAAAAAATTCATTTGATTTTACACAATTTGTGAATAATCTATGTGTATAGAAATCAAAATATATTGAAATAGTAATGATTCATAAAACTAAGTTAGAGATCCCACTCCTAAATTTAACATAACATGAATTTTGTTGCAATTTTCTTTCTTTAATTTAATCTAAAATTTCTCCAGAACCTTGTTCACGTAATTGGACATATTCTGCACTCGGTGGCCTAATTTTTCCGGGCTTTATGCGCGATACTTTCAATAATAACCAGGATGTATGTTACTAATTTAATAAGATTGCTGTGTTTTAAAAAAAAGTATTTTTTTTTTTTTTTGTATATGTAATATTTTTTATTTTAATATTATGCGTGATTTTCTCTTATTTTGAAAACTATCATCACATTAAAAAAATAATTAAATATCATGAAATCTATAGCAGTAATGAACAAAAAACAGATCGACAACGAATTCACCCGAATCGGACTCTTCAGAAAGGGGTTACTCAAATACATGTTTCGTTTCAAGATTCGATTGTTGTAATAAATAATATCATATAATAAATATTGGGTTTTAAAAACTATGTGGAAATCAAAAGCAATAACTGCTAAAATTATCGATAGAATCATTGCCTTATGAAGTAAATGATCAAATGCACAATTCGAATATCCCATATCGCTTGAAATATATCGGGATATAAAAGAATGACACTGTAATGAAAGTATGGGATTGATTGAACTTCAGTATCTGCTTGCCTAAACAAAATATGTACTATTGTTGTATCTAAATTTGTTTGAATTTTCATTTTCTCTTAACATTTGGTATGCTGAACAAAGTTAGGATTATTTTTTTTAAAAATATATATTATAAGAGAAAGAATAAATAATGATGAAGCAAATAAAAAGTGGACATATAAATAGCTTTAGGAAAAAATGTGTGGTTTATTATCAGGTGATTGATACAAAGAGGTCTACAAGGTTAACTAGTATTTTTATCTTGTTTGCTGCAGAGATGATTGTGCTCCGGAAAAAATCTGTACGTCCAGATTTTTCGCTAACCACAATCCGGAAATCGAAGTTCCAGAAATTTCAAGAAATTATTGATCACAATTATGTATAAAAGTTCTTGTATATTTTATTTAAAAATATTAGAGCTAGAATTTTTACTTGGCATCTTATTCATTTCTAAATAATTATAATAAATGTGATTAGAGATAAAAGTAAACTTATACATAATTATTCTCTTGTTAATAAATTATGCTGCCTATAATTTATTTAGAATTTCATGTTTTGAAAATCTTGATGATTTAAATTTATAAAAACATAAATTTTTTGAAATGTGTCATTAATGATTTTACTAAAGAAATTTTCAGGATTTTTGAGGTGGGCTCACAATCACCCCTGTTGCTGTGAAAGAAGAAATTAACAAAATTATTATGGAAAGATACATTTTGGATACAGTTAGCTATAAGTTTCTGAAAATTCTGGTAAATGACGGTAGATAGTGTTAATTGTCAAAAATTAAGTTCAGTCTTGAAATTTTTTTAGAGTGGCACCTAGTGGTTTTGTCAATCCTATAATGCTCCATCAGAAACGATGCAGACCAATTAAAGTTTTATTTTTTAACTGAGACTTAAATTTCTGTGAAAGTATCAATTTAATCATTTATTTTATACAGTTCTTAAAATTACAAAAACAAATTCTCTTTTTCTCATTATAGTTGATGAAAAATATTGTCCATGTTTTAAAGTTTCTTTTCTTTCTTAATGACTTATTTCTTTTTTCAAAAAAAGAAGGGGGGAGTTCTGTACCTTCGGAAATAATCTCAAATATCCAATTATAAGAAATAATTTAACAAAATATAATGATAAATTTTAATATAGAACTCTGAAGGGGGAAAAAATTTTCGGACAGCTTTATCTCGCTTTGATCTCTAAGGCCAAGAGAAGGAGAGCTTACATTAAATGTTTTTTATAAGAAAAACTATAATTTTTATTATTAATAACATTTTATACTTAAAAGATAAGCTTGTGCGTTTGAACTGTATAAAGTGAAAACGTTTATATAATTTTTTTTCATTGGAGAAATTCCTGCTTTTCTCAAGCTTAACTAAATAGTAAATTAGAAAATAAGCATTTTTACAAGAAGAAATTTGCAGTTTTGTAAATTTTTAAAAGCCTTATTTATCTGTAATGCATATGCATTCATCTCTTGTTTTAAGTTCTTATGTCCATTTCTTAGAAAAAAATTTCTTTTTTATATAGGAAAAAAAATAAATTATAAAACAGTGTCCGATGAGAAGTAATTAGTAATTGAGAATTTCCAATAATATTACTCTACATCAGAATTAATAATTCATTTTTCAAAAATTTGTACCATTTAATGAGCATAGAGGATTTTTTTAAATTTACTGAAAATATGTTTAATTTCTGTAATATTCATATATAAATTCAGTATCAACTAATAAAACTTTGTTCTTCGTATATATTTTAATGTATATTAAAAAAATAAGTTGTGTGTGGCATTCTAGATTATGTACTTTTATTTATTTTATTTTTTATTTTATTTTTTACTAGATATCAGAAACATTCCATCCTCTAGCGAAAAACGTGGAGATTTATGGGGTTGTGATAGGCTTATTTTTACTGCAGATGACATCATTAGCGTCTCTTTGGAATATTATCCTCTGTAAGTTATGTACATCTATTTTCTTACCATATTTGAATTTCGATTTTACTTTGCTCTTTTTATGTATTAAGGGTCAAGTTTTTGTTACTTTTTATATCTCTTTTAGATTGTAAGATTAGTTTTATAAAAAAAAAAATTTGTGTAAAATTCATTAAAATAACAACTAGCTTTTACAAAATTAAATGAGCCTGCAATTTTTCTTCCTGTTTATGCTGGAAACTTATAGACTATTTTAACTATATGTGTTACACTAATTTCAAATATACAAGGAGTATTCTTCTATCAAATATACATTTGAAAATTCAAAGTAAAATTCTTAGTTCTACAAAGGAGAATTTAGAGAGTTTTATCATAGTTAAAATGAATCTATTAAATCAGTACATGGATTTAATTGAACTACAACAAGTCTTTGAAAATAAAGCTTTTAAGGAATAAAAATTTTCATATTTCATATAAAAAATTTCATTTCATCAGCATATCAGTTTGAGAATTCTAAGATCTAAACAATTCATTTTAGCATAAAAAAGTTGCATATATATTAATTTACATTTGTTTAAGAATTAAGGCTCTTCTTTTCAAAACATTTTATTAGTTTTCAGTTAATAATTTTGTTTTAAAAGCTATTATTTTTTGCAGTTTAGGTGTTGTTTTTTTCATTGATTAATCTTAAAAATATATTTATTATTAATAAAGTTTTTTATATATCAAAACGTTTTAAAAATAATTTTTTTCTTTTTAAAAAATTTTATTTCAATTGTCTTATGTGCTCTTTTCCATAGAATGCACTAAGTCAATTCTTCAAAATTCTTTTAGGTTCCATAAAAAATGCACTTAAAAAATATGTGAGTAATTTATATGTAATTAGAGTGTTGTAGGAAAAATCAGATCATATGGTGTTTTTTTTTTTTTTTTTTTTTTTTTTTTTTTTTTTTTNTTTTTTTTTTTTTCAAAAGAAATATAAAATAGGCCAATGTGTTCTAACTTCTCTATTCTTAAAATAAAAATAAATTTTTAAAAAAAACTTATCAAGTCTGTTTAAATTGCTTCCATATAACATAAAGTTATATTATTAAATGAGTTTTAACTTTAATGATACATTTGTGATAACTATACAAACACCGGGTTGATTTGTTTACTCATAAAAATATTCATTTTATTTTATTTTTTCTTTTGCAGATACGAGCAGCTGATGGCAAAATCTTTTTCTATTAAGGTGAGTTTTCCGAACTAATTATGAACATGCATGATGTAAAAACATTACTTGTTACCAAAACACTGTTCTCATAAGCAATTTATAAACATAACACCTTTCCTCTTTAAACAATCTGTAGGCAAGACTAATAGAATTTAAGTAACGTATCTAGTATTTTTTAGGAGTTTTTTTTGTAACCCTCCAAGCTCTGAAAATTGTTTGGAAATTTGTAACGAAATATTCATCCTTTGAATAAAATGGAGGGAAACAAGTTTTTTGAAGCAGGAAAGTTAGCAGCTAAAATTTCAGGAAAGTCGGGACTAACTCTCAGAGGATTAAATAATCCTTGTAAGGATTTAAGAGATAACAACGTTGCAGCAAATTTTCAACTGTGCATTTTTTAAATTTTATAAAAATTATCCAAAATCAACTTCAAACTGTATATTGATTAAGATTAAAGTCAGGTGCTCTTGATTTCGATTTTTTAATGTGGTTTATTAGAAGACATTTACTAATTAATTTTTGAAAAATTATTTGTGTCAATTGAAAGAAGAGTTCTGAAATGTTAACAAAACTTGCTGTAAATTATTATTGTATAATTTTGATAATTTTTACCTTTAATACAAGCAGCATTAATACAAAAATGCCAACAACTAATAAAATTCGGTGTTCCCGGATTATAATTTTCGAGATTTTTCTATTTTTACTATTTGTTTTATTTCTCGACCTTTCTCTTATTATAATTTTTAGTCCAAAATCTGTCAATGTATAACTTTTTTGTCAAGATTCTCAAATCCATTGTGCTAAAATGCTTCAGCATCCATATGTTTGACAATTTTGATGAATTTATGCTTCCCTGTTTCTAATGACTTTTTAATGAATGATTTTTAAATAAGCAAAATATATTTTCAGTCTCACAAGCGCTACTTTAGATGCCCTGGTGCTTTGAAAGTTTACCACTTGAAAAAACTGCTTTGTGCTAAATATAATCTTGAATCAAATATGGTATGTTTCTTCTTATTATTATTGTGTACCTGCTTGTTATAAATTTGTTGCATACTGAAAATCTCACAATTTGGAAACTTTTACAAAACAGCTCTCATTACTGAAATATTTTTAATTGGTCGTGAATCTTTTATAAATAAATCATTATGAACCCTCCCTGCAAAGCAGAAACTCCTCTAACCAGGCATGAACCGTCATTTATGTCCTGAGATATTTTTATTGATCTTTTTAAACTAGGAGTGCACAACCTTTTTGAGTGAAGAGCCACATGCACAGTAGATTGACCGATGTAGGGCCGCATGCCAAAGTATTTAGACAGTCATATTGACAGCAATTGTAGGTAGTAATTGTTATGTAAACATCATTGTTCTAGGCACTAAATTATTTTTCTCAGTTAACCTCGTAATATCTTTGCATAAAATTAAATACTTTTAAATGTTTAAAATTTGAAACTGCAAAACTGATTACTTAAAAAAAAAAATTCCGAAAATCAGAATCAATTTATCTGAAAAAAATTTAGATCAATTGAATTAATTAAGAACTATGAGAAAATTCATGTTTATTTTTATCATATTACATTATACAAAAGTCCATTTAAACATAAATTTTAAAAAATAAATATTCTAGTTATTAAACTAAATGCAAATTAAATACTTGGATGTAAAGAAAGTTTATAGGGTTAAAAATTATTAAAATTAAAGCATAACCCCTTCACCAGAAAATAAGACTTAGTAGGGAATATTCTTTAACTTTAAAACATTTATTTTAAATAAATTATAAGAGATAGGGGCTAAGAGAGGGAAGAAAAAGAAAGAAAACATGATTTTGAAGAAACCATTTTCCTTAATAATTAAAAACTATTAACTTGTTTACAAACTGTTATGATGAATATTTTTTTTAACATGACACTTACTATTTACAGTTAATACACATATATACTAGCAATTAATAAAATTTACATTACTTTACTGAACTTATCTTGATTAAATTTTTTTACAGTTAAAATTTAATGCTATACAAATCATTTCCCAGCATATGATCATAAATGGTCTTAAGTAGGTGTAAAATGGTTTAAAAAGTTTCTAATTGGTTATCGTGTAATTAGCAAAATTTTTTATTGTTGTGATAATTTTATTTACTTAATCATGTGATAGCTTTTTCGAGGCATTAAATAAAAATTTAATGATTTTGTTTAAAGACTGCTCTGTAATAACAGGCCAAATTCATTCTAGAAAACAGTCTTTCAGCAGAAGCTCTTGTAGTGGGCAGTATTAAACTTCAGGCAAATAACTTAATCAGTTTTGGAACCTGTCCTAATTAGTATTCTTCCTTTCCTGATTTTTAAATCGTGTGAATATAAATAGCAATGTGTTATTTTTAAATTGCTTGAGTACGAATCGAGATCTGTGATTTTAAACTGCAAATAGACGACTCAGAGCATACGATTTTTAAAATGTATGAATATGAATCGTGATTTGTGGTTTTTAAGTCACGTGAATATGAATCAAAGTGTATAATTTTTGAATTCCGAGAGAGTAACAACATATGATATTTTAAACATGAAGCGCGATATGTGATTTTAAATCTTGTGAATACAAAATGTGATGTGCAATTTTAAGATAGCATAAATACGATTTATAATGTGATTTTTAAATCATGTGACAACAAAAAGAATAGGTTGGGTATGTGTTAAGCTTGCACATGTTCATGGGACTAAGGAAATATGCACATGCTTTTAATTATTAATTTATTTATTTTTTGTAAAGGGGACCATGTTTAATATAAGTGTACACACCTCGTTTTTTGTATTATTATTCTCTTCATGAAGTTGTCGATTTTGCCAAGATATGTAATTACTTTTTGAACTTTAAGAAGTATATATATACGGAATCGAATTTCGCGATTTGTAATATTGTGATAAAATATCAGGATATTCTAAATCACAAGTAAAAATACTGCAATAACGAGAAAGAAAAAAGAAAACATGTTTGAAAAACCTCTTATATTTATGTTAAAATCGGCACAAAAAGATCATGTAAAAAGTAATTATTTTAATTTGCATTCAAAACTTGCATGCTATCAAATTATAATATTAAAAATACCAGAATTTTTTAAATCACGAGGAAAAGCGCAGTAATAATTATTAAAAAAAATTTCAAAAGCCCTTTATATTTATGATGAAATTGGTGCAAATAAAGTGCTTCCCAAATTTATGTTTTTAAAAACAGGATTTGAAATTAGAGTGTCGCAATAGTGTATAAAAAATATTGGTTTCATCACTTTCAGTGATGTGCCAAAATTGTTACACTGCGATATTTTAATGTATTGTTTATATCTTTTTTAGATTGATGTATTGTATAAAGATGACATTCTCAAAAATGAGTACACACTTGTTGATCTAGCATATATATATCCATGGAAAAGGGTATGTATATTTAATTTCATATTTATCAGGGGTCTGTTTAGAAGAAATTTGGGTCCGTTAACGGGCGCTTCACAAAATATCTTTTCATAAAAACGAACTCTTCACAAAATAATTTATCTTTTAATCGGACCCTTCACACATTTGTTTATCTTCATTGTTTTGTTAATCGAATAAACCCTTCCGGGGGGGGGGGACAGTTAGAGACAAACAAAGTTTTCCTAAGTTTAAGTTCTAAATGTAGTATTCTAAGGAAATGTTTCTACTTTTACAAACACCTTTTCTCCATTCTTATTAATATTAAATCATAATTTTTTTTTTTTTTTTTGTAAAAAAATAATTGATCAATTTATATTTATTCATGAAATTAATTAATAGAATATTATGTATTACAATTTTTTAAATAAAATATTATAAATTTAAGAATTGTTTAAGTTTACTTAATGCGTAACACATTAAAAGTGATACATAACTAAGTTGTGTTATTTAAAATATGTCAATTGAAATTATTAAAAATGTGAGTGATTTTGTTTCCATTATTCGTCCGAAATGAATATTCTGTGTTGAGCAGTATAGGCTAAATACCAAATATTCGTATGTTGCATCTCTAATTTAGTAGCAGCAATTGTTGAGCAGAATCTTGTATCTATTTACAATTTAAGAACTTCTTGAAAAGGTTTTTAGCAATTTTTGCAATAACAGGACCCTATTTGCACAAATTCACAAAAGCAGGGCCCTACTTAAAAGAATGTGACTTAACGTTTATTTTATATTCACAAATTATGAATAGTTTTTTCACAATTTTACAAAAGCAGGGCTGCACATTATTTGGCTGCACACCCTGTCTTTTCAAATCATGAATTGACAGGGAATATTTTAAAACTAAAATCGAACTATTTATACATACACATATGTATAATCAACTTCATTTCTCAATTGTTATGAAAATTAACGTTTGTCTTTTATATTTATCCTACGAGTTTTTTTTTTTTTTTTTTTAAATTTTTACCTAATGCTTATTCTTGATATTTTAGAGTGAACCAATGCGGTTATTTTTTAAAACTTCAAACGATTCCATCTGCAACTCAAAAACTTGGGAATTTCCATCACTAGAAAACGACAAGCAGATTTTCATACCTTCAGAGACCAATATTTCTCCTCCTTGCTCTGCCATTAAATTGGAATCCCCGACTCCCTCCATGGCAACTGCACCTTCGTCACGCCATCCCTCAGGTCCACCCTCTCCAAAAATGGCCGAAGAGCCCAAAGAAATCAGCTTAGAAAAACCAAATTGTGCTGCAATGCAAACTCCTAACAGTCCCCAATTCCAACCAAAAGTAGTCTTAGAGCATAAGTTAAAGAGTGCCCTTAAAAAACCTGTACATAATTCCAACTCTTCCGTTATTCCAGAACTTCCAGACGTTGATACCTTAAAAGAAAAATTTCTAAATAAAGTTAACTTACCATCTCATAGGACTTCCAGAGGTGATCTACTTTCTGTTAATGGTTTTCAGAAGAAAAAGAAAGTCACTTTCAGTCCAGATCTAGTTCAAGACTCTTATCGTAATATTCCATTTAGGCACAAGCTTCCAAAGTGCAAAGACAGAAATCTGATTAAACTCAAATCTCCCGATGGCACCACCCTACGCAGTGTTATTCAGATGAGGAATAAGGTGCTGTCTAACAAAAGTTCCTGACCTATTAAATGGTTTTTTTTTTCTATTGACCAAACATTCATGTACCAGAATTAATCGCCATATTTCTTGTCATAATTGTTCCTAAAATGTGTGTTCAATCACTTAAAAATTTTCATAACCATAAAGGTTTTAATGTAGTTAATTTAATGATGATTTTTAATTATTATTATTTAAATATTATCTATGTATCGCAAAAACAACTCTACAATTTTCTGGTTGACTACTCATTTGGTTTTCTAATTTAATTTATAAATATAGGTTTTGTACTTAAAAAATTCCCTATTTGTGGAATAGTCTGCATATGATTTTTTTTCTGTTAAAAATATACTCTTATTCTTAAAATCTATCATTTTTCCGCCTATATACCCATAGGGCTCATTATTATCAGACTCATAAGTTTTAAGAATGTATACAATACAATATATACAACTTATTAAATTTAATAGTTTTTTTATTAAATCATTTTATTTTATTAAGAGTACTTAATTTTATGCAGTAGAAAAATTTAAAGCCTTTGTTTCTTGCATGATATATCTCTTTAATTTTTATAACTTCTTTTTCTTTCAAATTAAAATAAAATTCTTAATGTAAATAAAAGTTAAGTAAGTTATGGCATCTAACCATTCACTATCTTCTATAAGTGAGAAAATGCTTGAAAAATTTATCAATATTCAAGCTTTTGTCCCTATGCATGCTTTTTGTTATTTCTGCAAGCTAAGTTAGAATAACAGAAAATTTCCAAAATATACTTTCTGATACTTTTTTATTTATTTTTTTCAGTTTTATATGACTAATTTTCATTTCCCTCAATTTAGATGAAAATTTTTACACATAAAGGTAAAATTATTTACGGTTCAATATATTTTTAGGACTTTTTGCAATTTAAATAACAATGAAATATAATGTTTATTATATAATTTTTTGTTTTAAAAAAATTAAACTCTTGGAATTATTGTTTCATTTTGTTTTTATCATTGAAAATAATATGCAGAATCGTCTCTATTTTCTCTTAATAAGCTATCATCGACTACAGAAGAGCATTGATATTTTTTTATACTGTAAAATATATACAGTAGGGAACCGATTATCCGGAACGGTCGGGACCATCGTTATTCCGGATAACTGATTTTTCCGGTTTTCTGAATGGCTACAAAAAGCCATTTTTTTTATTGTTAAATCCAACCAAAAAAAAAAAAATTGGAAATAATCTTAAAAATAAGAAAAAACGATGAAGTAATACACTAATGATTATTTCCAAAATGATGGTAAGGTAAACATCTTTAAAAAAAGAAAGAAAAATCGTAAAAACTTATGAGGAAAATAAAAAAAATTTTTTTAAATGGCGAAAAAATTTATCGAATTTCGTTCCGGTTTTCTGATTTCCGGATAACGGGTTCTGTACTGTATATATGTATAATTTTATTACTTATCGATATTTTAATGCGCTTAAAATAATTTTTTGAATCATCTCTACTATCTCTTCTAAAAAAGTTTATAATTTTATATTGAATCAATTCTTATTCATATTTTGATACACTTAAAATTATTACTCGAATCTCGTATATTGTATATTCCTATGGCATTAGTTTTTACCTTATTGTAAATTTCTATTGTCTCAGTGGTACATTTTTTACAATAAAATACTTGTATTAGATTTATATATTTGACTGTCACAAAATAGGATTGAAGTCTGATATCAAAAATATATTAGAATTTGGAAATTTTAAATACTACCTATTGTTAATCACATGAAATTTTATTCATATTAAATGCATGTAATTAAATATATTTATCTGTGTAAATGTCTGATACATATCAGGCTTCAAAATTTAAGTACAACACTAAAGGTATTAGTTTAAATGTATTTAAAGCATCGTAAATTCAAATCAGGGAATATGTGTGATACCTAATGTTCCAAACTCAATTTTTAAATGTCTTTCAGAAATCTGCTCAATTTTTCATTTTTTAATCAATTTTTAATAACTTCTATCAATTTATACCATATTTTTTGAACATTAAAGAACAATTTTCTACCAAAAATATTTAATAATTATTAATGCATCTTAAAAGAACTGAATTTTTAATATTGATACTAATGTTTTGTATTTTATAAGCTATTATACAAAGTATTTTATAATTGAGAATTTAATGTTTATGCAAGGTAACATTTCCTCACTAAACTCATAGAATTCATGCATTAGATGAAGTTTTATATTTTAAAACTTTGTTGCTAAAATTCTTTAGAACAGAAGCAGATAAATGGTTTAAACATAAGCCTTTATTAATTTAATGTTAACATTTATTGGGTTACTTAAATTACGTAAGTGGTATCTTAAACTTACCCGTCCCGCAGTGAACTGATCGTATCCCAGTAGAACGTCGAAGTCAAGCATCACTGGCTGCTGTCAGTAAGCAGATGGGTGACCACTTTGATCAGCCTGTGTAGGGCCTGCGCAGTATTGGTCCTCATTAAACTGTTCTACTGTAAAGTGCTCAGGCTGCCAAAGCAAGGGAGACATCCCCTCTGTAGAGAATCAAAATTGTGATGGCATGTTTTTGGATCATCTTCAGGGATTTTTCCCAGACCGTCACCAACAGCCCATTATGCAGCTCTAGTGCAACTTAAATAAAGTACCTACCTAGATTCAAAGGTCTCTGAGGCCGTAATTTAATGCTCTAACTACCCTGAAAAAAAATGTACACCCTTGTCCAGGGCGAGTTAGGGAACTTTATATTGTAATCTCCATATATATTTTTCATTTAAGTTCTATAAAATCTACTCTTGCTATTTATTTTTTGAGTTCTTATCAAAAATGAAGTAAATGGTGTTGTTTCTAATGTTCATCCCTTATCCTCCATGCCGATTTTGATTTTTAATATCTTGGTTGTAATATTGAGCATCGATTTTTACGTCATTTAAAAACTACACCCTGCGATTCGTATTTATGCGATTTAACAGTTCAATCTCTCGATTCATAATCGCATTACTTTAAAATCCGATATTCGGATTCTCGTAGGAAGTAAGTTTTTTATTAAATTTAAATAAGTTACTATAAAGGAGTGATATTCAGAAATTTGGGTCAAATATGAAACAGGCATAGTGTATAAATTGATATTGAATTTTTGGACGTAAAAGTTTCAGGGTTTTTCACTTTGTAGCACAATCACTCCCCTATGTCACAAATTGATTGTTTAGAGGCAGGGCTGATTGTGCTCCGGAAAAAATCCGGATTTTTCGCTAGCCGTGATCCGGAGATCGAAGGTTAAGACGATTAAAAAAATCATTGATCACAAAGGTTTTCGGAAATGAGTTTTTAAAGGTGGAACTTAAAAACTCAATTTATTTTATTTGTTTGTAAGGGAGAGCCAGATACTTTATAAGCTTATATTCAAGATTAATATTCATTTTTTTTTATCAGTAAATAGTTATTATAATCATAAACTTAACAAAGAAAGACATATTTGTAAATTTCTATTACTTCTCCAAATCATCATTGGTATGTGTAAATGGTATAGGTATGTGTAAAATTTTAAATATATTTTAAGTAAACTAAGAAGTATTGAGAAAAAGGAAAAACCCTCGATTTAAAGAAAAAATAATAATTCTTACTTCCGGAATTTTGACTTGGGCGCACAATCACTCCTGTTAGAGGTTAATTTTCCTTTCTTTTTTTTTATTTTGTATTCGACAAAATTGGTACATAGTTGTGCATGAAGTACATATATAAATTATTGGAACCAAACATATGACTTTATCATCACTCTTTTCTTTTCATGCTACTTTTTAAAAAACTCATGCAAGTTAACCCACTGGCGGGTAAGGAAATGGGCAAAATTGGGTGATTGTTTCTCCCCTACACACAGTTCCCCTATCTATTAATATGGGAAAACCGGTTTTGCTATGCAGGGAAGACTGCAGGTTAAAATGCGACTTTTTACGTGCATAACCGTCAGTGGGTTAAAGAAAAAAACAATATTTCCTAATATGCAATGCAGTTGGTGTATAAATATTATTTTCGAATGCTATGCTGTTCACATTTTTGATCTTTTAACTATCTTAACTTGTTATAACGACAGCCAGACTTTTGACCTTTTCCTGATATTTTTGGAAACAGTCCCTACACTTGGGGAACTTTTTTTTAAAAAATAGCGAATGTAATCTAGCTCATGCTTGATTGAAATTGGAAAAAACCTATTTCTCTACTAGAGAACTTAATTCCCTTTAACACTAAGACCTTGTTGAAATTGTGTAAAGCAAACATTAGCAAAAAGGGGTGACACTTGTTCTTAAGAAACAGTTTTCCAAAAAAAAAAAAAAATTTTTTTATTTATTACTTTTTCTTAAAGCGAAGGGGGGTTTTGATCGATTTAATTTATTGATGTACTGTATTTTGAACTATCTATTTAGGTTCTGTAAAAAAAAATTATTGCTTTCTATGAGTTTAGCTTGGAAAATTTTTTTATCAGTTCTTACCTTAATTTTTTTTTTTTTTTAATTCTGTTTTAACATTTGTAATGAAATGTATATAAAATATAAGGTGTTAGCTATGTTTAAAATATTGAATGAATGAATTTGTATTATTTTAATTCTTTTGTTGTTAAGTAGCAGCTATTTTATTTTACTTTTTTAGTAGTGCTGGAAAAAATATTGAGAGTAAGCCAAAAACATAAATGTTTTTAAATTGACTTGTTTGAATTGTGTACATTTAACAACGTGATAAGAATAATTTCAACTATATCCAAAAAACTATTTTGAAATTTAGGGGAGTTATTAATTAATGATAATGCTTAATAACTTATTATAAAAATAAGATTCAATAAATTGACATAAAAACAAGCCTACCATTACTCTACTTTTCCCCCTCCTCAAACAGGGTCTGTTAGCTATTTTTTAATTAAAAAAATTTTATACAGCCTTTCAAATTTTGACTCTCTACAGAAATAATTTGTAATAAAAATTTTTAAAAAAAGTAGTTTTGTAATTGTTAAAATATCGCATTTTCTAGCTTCATCTCATTATTCATTTTTTTTTCATCACTGTATAAAAAGTGAATTATATATTATTAGTTTGGATTTTTGTTTATTATTTTTTTTGTTTCAAATTTCTAAAACATATTTGTTTGTGCAACAATTAGTTTGCAGTGCTGTTTTATTTTTCAAATTTTATGTTTTTTTAGCCATCCTCTTATACAAATTTTTTGCTATAAATGAACTCGTGTACTTGTGCGAAATTATGCTTATTGAATTTCAGGAGAGCGCAAAAAATCCGATGGTATCTAATTTTTGTAATCAAAATTCTGTATTATCTGTACATTTATTTTTGTCTATACTTATATCAAAATAATTGTGTGTTTTACTGTGGTATGTATGTATAAGTTTTATTGCTATTGAATAACAGTTTAGATATACTTGCTTTTATATGTTAGATTTGTAATAATATTCTGCCTGTTTAAAAGTAGCCCTAATTAATGAACTTTTTACATTTTTGAGTAAACATTTTGAATATTAGTGTTTATTCCTTTATTTAATCCTTCAAATTAAGTCTGGTTTACACTTTCATTCCTTTTGAATGAAATTTTATTATATTGTACAAAACTTATTTTATTCTGCCATTACTGAATTGAATGTCGTGTATTTTATATTAGAATTGGGTAAACTATTTTTTATCACTAGTCTTTTTCACTTACAAGGAAAGTATCAGAATTGCCTTTTAATGAAGTTACAAGTGGTTTTAAAGTAGCATTAAGTTATACAGGGTGCATAGTGTTTTTAAAAAGTACTTAAAGGTGCTTATTTTCGTTTTTTAAAGGCTTTTCTATTCGCATTATTTTATTCAAT